GTGAGTTGGGGATTTTACTCTGTCACTAACTCACTGATTTTTTTTTTTAAAGATTTATTTACTTATGGATACAAGAACTGGGATACAGGCTGATGTGTGTTGGGGGGATGAGAGGATTCACCAGAGACAGAGTGGGGAACACAACAGGCAGATTGACTGAAATACATTGCTGAAGGGAGCAGTGGTGGAGCCAGGAGAGGTCTGCTGCACATGTGGGTCACCTCCCTGGCTGGGGATCAAACTCGTGCTGCAGTAGCTGCAGATAGCTTCGTAGTATTGAGTCTTAACCTCTTGCGCTACCAGGGAGGCCCACTAACTCACTGATTTTTAGTAATATCCCCTCTAGGATTTATTGTTGATAATGTCATTTTTGACATACTTCAGCTATTTGTCCATGGGTTCTACTCTGGTTCTGTGGTTTTCCTCCCTTGGTGGCCTCTTCCTTTTCTCCTAACTTCCAGAGAACAGCATTGTAAAATAGAACACTGGATTCAGAGGTTTTTTTCCCCACCCTGTTCACTTATTTGGGGCTACACCAATCCACATTTCCTAAGTTTTCATTAGTCAGCAACAATTACCCAACTCCACAGACCACTGCATTGACCAAGGCCTGCTTACATTATAATGGAGGAAGTAGGAACTCTCACATGAAGCAGAAACTCCCAGGAAAGTAGACATGCACATGTGGCTGTCACTACTATATTTAGACTCATCCATTGCTCAAAAATAAATAGCTCATTGTACGTTTCTACTCAGATGTCTATGTTGGCACTTCCTTGGGGGTGGCTTGACTGGTTGAAGGCCTGAGATTGGGAGATGATAACACTTGGAGAAATTTTGAATAGTTAATGTCATGGAGAGTTGAAGAGCAGGAACATTCCTTAAGGAAGGTGATATGTAGGAGAAGCTGTGGGTAAGTGGCATCCAGGGTAAAGGTACTGACTCAAGTGATGACTCTGGGTTCAGGGTTTCCTGAAGCCCTTCTTTGGAGGCTGTAGGGGTCTGTGGAGTCCAGGATAGAAGCTGCTGTTTTGGCACCTGCCCACACAGACATAAAGTTATTGTGGTATGGGCCAGACTAGGCAGAAAGGAGAGCAGAAGGAAGTGGAGATAGTTCTTTCTTCACAACAGAGAGAAGGCTGAAGGGATGGCTCTGAGAACGCTTGCGGAGTCCTCACACAGAGGGTCAGATGACAGGAGTCACTGTGAGAGGTTCAGGAAAGACAGCAGGTGTGATTTCAGGAAGACTCCATTCCAGTGACTGCTGCTGGCTTCTGCACAAGTCTCATCAGCTCTCACAGGGAACTGGGAATTCCTGATTAAAGTTTCACTAAGAAATAGATATAACTCATCTGGAAACAACAACAAAGTAATGTTTGTCATCAGGGAATACAGAATACAGATACCACCTACAATAATAATATAGCGGGTCTTCAAATCGTGTTGTTTTGCTCAATGGCATTTTGTAATAGTGTAGATGAGGGAAAAAATCCCAGTGCACTTGAAGAAGTGACCTTATTTTGTTAGTTATTTTGCTTACAACATTTCTAAGAATTAATTGACAATGTTAAGTGAGGACTTACTGTGATCTATTTTCCCTCTCTTTTCCTTGGTGGAAAGCGAGAGTTGCTTTTCTGGTTTACAGACCCTCATTCTTACAAAGGTCAGTTAGTATTATTCTGAGGTCAGTTATTTCCAGTGTTAAGGGAGGCAAGGCACAGTTTAGGGTCTTGTCCTGGTCCCTCAGCCCATGCTGAGTAGAACCTGATTCCAGTTCAGTGCTCTTTATATCATTTCTTCTACTTGGTTCTTGGGCAGACACGTTCTACTTTTTATTGTTAGGATGTTACTGCATCACTTTCATCCCTTTCATTAATACCACCAATTACTTCCCACTGTCTGTCTCCAACTCTTGTTTAATGAATTGGTAAGTGACCAAACCAGGGCTTCTGCTAACTGCCCAGAAAGCCAAACTGTTAACCATGAGAATGTCTTTTGACAAAGAAGTTTATTTGAAGTGACCACCAACAGAGTTGGTGGGACTAACACCCTAAAAGCAAGCTCCAGAATGGTGGGATTGCTGTGATTGTGGGGGGAGGAAAAAAGGGAAGGTGTAGAACATGAATGGAGTAAGAGACTTCACATTCTCAGGTCTGAGGAGGTCTAACTAGAAAATGCCAGGGTCGGGCTTCCTGTCAATGCCAGAAGCCAACCTAACAGAGACAGGAATTGAATCTATAAGGTGTACTGTATTGTCAGAAAGCTGTCTGAGAGAACAGGGATATTATACCCCCAAAACCTATTCTAACATCTCATCTCAAGCTGACCTTTTTCTAGTGAACTAAACAGTTAACCATAAGCAAACCTCCTATAGCAGCCTATCACAGTTGGAGCCCTGGTCTTTGTTGCCACCAGAGTTTGTTGCCACCTCCTTGGTCATCTTGACCCAGGTATATCCTGTTTTCCTGATGGCATCAGCATCCAGCACTTTTGATGGTGTCAATGTCTGACACTTCAAGTGTCACTGGGATAGGACTCTCCGTTCAAAACAAGAGTTTTAGTTCAAAGAAAACAGATTATTAGTCACACAGTGTTTGCACATAGCCTATTCTGTGTGTACATGCAGATGCCTATAGTAGGTATGATGACCTTCGCTTTTTCCCTAGCCCCTATCATTGGCACCAGACGACTGGGCATTATAAGTCACAGTGTTCCTTTGGTGCTAATCATGGGTCATCAAAAGGACACAAGAGATTTTCTGTTAGAGATGCAGCACAATCTATCATCAAGTTTCTTGGGAATGCATCTGGAGAAAAATGCATTATTTGTGTGTTAAAAGTTAATTGCAGGGAGGAGATTGGGGAAAAGAGAAAAAAGGGTGGCTAGAAATTCTAGTGAGTTTTACTTTTCTAATAAAAGTTTAAACTATAGGAGGGGTGGGGGAACTTGGCCACAGTTTGGGCAATTGTCAACTAGTTGGAAGTCATTAGAGCATGCAACTCAGCTGAAAAGCAGGTACTAGGAGCCTTAGCTGCCCCAGAGCAAGAAGCAGGAGCTATGTTCTCTCCTCCCCTCTGCAAGGAACAGCCAATGTATTCAGTGCCAGGGAACTTTGGAAAGATGCCAAGGCATCCTGAATCTAGAACCGATGAAGTGTAGAGACGAGGTTCAATTCCAAAGAGAAGTGTATGTGGACACCCGAGCAACTGTATATGGGGAGACTCTGGTACACAGAAAACAAGAAGACATTGCTGGGGTGGATCCTGCTATGTCAGGGTTCAAAGTCTGCTCAGGACACCATAGCACAGGGGGAAATGAGAATACTGTTCATGGCTGAAAGTAGGCTCTGGACTGAAGGTAGGTGACTCTCTTAGCAGAGGATGACACCAAAGAGGATTACAAGCGCTCCTGTGAGGGGTAACAGGGAGCAGACCACAGGAGAGTGACTCTCTTGGGAGATGTGGGATTGCCACATTGCGGAGAGAGATAAAGTTGACCTCAGGATACCTGAAGGAAGCTCACACTGTACAAGGGGGACTTCAGGCAAAAGACTCTTCTAAACTGTAGCTGACATCAGGGAATCAATTTTTGCTTTGGAGCACCAGGGACTTGGTCTACCTGGGGTTTGTCCATTGTTTATTTGTGGTGATGAATTTTCTTTTTTAAAAAAATCAAAACTTGTGTTGGTGAAGTTTGGGCCAATTTATAGGGTTGCCTGGTAAAGAAACTTTCCTAGATCTCTTTCCCATTATTTTGATTGAAGCTAATTTGTTAAGATGTGCTATCTGTTGCCTTCAGAGTTATGATACAACAGTTTTCTTTAGGAGTTTTCTTACAGTGCTATAATAGATCCACAGACTGGCAGGATTATTGTGTAAAACTGTGTGAATCCTTTACTGTCCCTGAGTCTCTGTGTTTTTGGGGGACTTAGTAAAGGGAGCAACTTCCTGGGAACTTCTTGTTTTCACATTAATCTGCTGCCAGTAATTTACTTTCCCCAGGGCTGCCGGATTGGAAGAGATTAAGTGGTGATTTATCAGAAAGCATAGCAGGAAAAACTTGCTGTCTTTACTAAGACCTCAAATATTGGCTAATGGCAAGTTTCTAGCTAGAAGGTAAGTGCTGATGTATGAGTTTTTTTTTCTTTGTATTTTCTAAAAGAGTTATACAAAATGTGAAAAATAGACCAGAGATCTCTGGCCTTATGGAGTTAGCTGGGACTAATGTTTGCAGAGAGGGAGTACTGCAGCTAACGGTTCAGAGCCTGGGCTTGGTTAGCAGGTAGATTGTAGTTAGTCATGGCTTTGCTACTCACTAACTGCATGATCTTGGCAAGTTGCTTAACTCTAACCTTTAGTTTGCTTCCTTGGTTGATTTCTTAGTTCTATTAGGTTTTTGTTTTTTTGTTAATTATCTTGGATTTTCTAGGTAAGCAATCATTTTTCCTGATATTTTTGCCTCTTTCTAATGTGTTCAGTAGAAATACCCTTTTCTTATTTCATTGCATTGGTTACATTTAACAAAATGATGTTGAATAGTAACAGTGAAAATGGACATACATATCCAATCACTGGTCTTCATGGGGATTTTCAAATATTTCATATTCAGTATGACGATTGCTATATGTTCTGGTAGACATCATTTGTTAGCTTAAGAAAATATCCTTGAGCTTTTTAAAAATCACGAATGAATATCAAATTCAGCCAAAATGATCGTATGGCTTTTCTTCTTTACTCTCTTAAGATTATGTATTTCATTAATGGTTTTCCTTTTAATAATTTTCCTATTTTGAATCATCCTTAAATTCTTCAGCTCAGCCAAAATTAATGTGTTTTTCTCTTTAATGTTGTGGGACTTGATTTGATCATATTTTATGTAGGGTTTATAAAAATCTAAGCTTCCAAGTGAATTCATTATTACCTTTTTATGTGCTGTCAGTTTCTATGAATGTAATTTCTAATTAATTGTGTTGATTTAAAGGAGTAGTCCAGGAGAGAGAAATGAACTTGCTGAGGGAGTTCCACCTCTCCCTGTTGGTCTTCCTGCTGCTTGTGTGTGGCTTCCTCTATCAGTTCAACCTGAAGTCCAGCAGCCTCTTCTCCTACCTACATTCCTACAATAAGCCCCAGCAGGGACTAGAAGCCATTCTGAGCCAGGGGCATGGCATAGTGTTCCTAGAGACCTCAGAGAGAATGGAGCCATCCTTACTGGCCTCTTGTGCTGTGGAGTCTGCTGCCAAGGTTTATCCTGAGCATCCTGTGGTATTGCTTATGAAGGGGCTCAACAATTCCACACAGCTGCCCCCAAACTCCAGTGATTCAGCCTTTTCTGTCCTCTCAGCAATGGACAATGTTTTCTTCTTCCCATTGGATATGAAAAGACTGTTTGAAGACACACCATTGTCTTTGTGGTTTGCTGGTGTAAGTATTCAAAGTCTTAGAATGTTAGTGTTGGGAGGAACCACAGAAAATGGGTACAACCTACTCATGTTATAGGTGGGTAAACTGAGGGCAAAAATCTCAGTGTAAGAGAGGGTACTGGACCTCAAATCCTTTGATTCTTACTTGAGCTTCTTTCTACTGCCATAAATGCCAATTCTAGTAAATGGGAGAGACTTAAATTATGCTTACCTGTAGCCTGGTATCTTTTGCTTTCAGTCTTATTTCTCAGGATTTAGGTTTGTTTTGAAATAATTCTTAACTGAATGGGTTTCTATAATTTTCCTAGGTGTAAAACCACTTAATTTCCACTGAGTTTTTTTTTTTTTTTTTTTTTTTTATAGAGGCATGTTTATTTATTTATTTATTTATTATATTTGTTTGTTTTTTGTTTATACATGCACTGGGTATAGTCAGAAGCGCGGGAGGGTGAGAGAATTCACCAGAGCCAGAGCGGGGAGCAGAGCAGGCAGAAGGCTGAAGTACACTGCTGAGGGGAGCAGCGGGTGCAGGAGAGGTCTGCGCACCATGTGGATCCTCCTCCGGTGGCCGGGGAGCAGCCGGGATCGAACCGGCGCCGCAGAGGCCGCGGGCAGCTTCGCAACCCAGCGCTCAACCGCTGCGCCACCGGGGAGGCCCTCCACTGAGTTTTGAAACTTATCTATGTTAAGTTTTTTTTGCACATGAGGGGGAAATTAGGCAATATTAACTTGTAAATGATGTAAATAGAAAATTCATGAAGAATCAAGTGGAGGCGCAGCAGACCTCTCCTGTCTTGCCTGCTGCTCCCCTCAGCAGTGTGTTTCAGTAGATCTGCCTGTTCTGTTCCCCACTCTGTGTCTGGTGAATCCTCTCACTGTTCCCCTGCCCCCACCTCTGGCCTGTGCTCCAGTTCTTGTATGCATAAATAAATAAATCTTTTTAAAAAAGGACTAGAAAATATACAAAACAACCATAGGTATTTTAGTAGGATTGGATTTGGAATGAATTTAGTGATGAAAGTATGTTAATTTTATAAATAAAATTATTTTAAAAAATAAAAAATAATTTAAGAATTGACATGAATTTAATGCCATTTGCTTGCTGTGTAAAGTCCTATCTAAATTCTAATCATAGGCTAAACCAAGTGTCAGCAAAATTTTTCTTTGTAAAGGGCCAGACAGTAAATACTTAGAACTTTGCAGGCTAAGCGGCAAAATTGAGAATATTTTGTAGGTATTTGTACTAGTTTGCTATGACTGCCACAACAAATAATCACAAACCTGGTGACTTGAAATACAGAAATCTAGGGCCTCCCTGGTGGCGCAGAGGTTGAGTGCTGGGTTGTGAAGCTGCCCGCAACCTCTGCAGTGCCGGTTCGATCCCCGGCTGCTCCCGGGCCACCAGAGGAGGGTCCCACAAGGCGCGCAGACCTCTCCTGCCGCCCACTGCTCCCCTCAGCAGTGTACTTCTGTCTTTCTGCCTGCTCTGCTCCCTGCTCTGGCTCTGGTGAATTCTCTCACCCTCCTGCGCTTCTGACTGTACCCAGTGCTTGTACAAATAAATAATAAATAAATAAATAAATCTTAAAAAAAAAAAAAAGAAATACAGAAATCTATTCTTTCACAATTTTGGAGGCTACAAATCCCAAATCAGTTTTTCTGAGTAGATATCAAGATTCTGACAGGGCGCCATTTCTCCGAGAATTTTCCTCTAATCTCTGCCTCCATTTTCTCACCTCTTATTCCTTTGTGTAGGTGTTTAACCCCTTCTCGGTGTGTGTTTGTGAGGGTATGTGTATGTGTTTGTGAAATTTCCCGCTACCTCTCTTTTTAAAGAACACTGGTCTTTAGGTCTAATCAGGGTAATCCAAGGACCTCCCACCTGGAGATCCTTAATCACATCGGCAAAGACCCTTTTCTCATATGAGGTAACATTTACAGGTTCCAGAAATCAGGACCTGGTATCTTCAGCCTACTACAGTATTCAGATATTAAAAAAGAAGAAACTTTCCCTGCTGTCCCAATCTTTTCCCTGCTGCCTCAATCTCCTCGTGTCTGGGTGGGCTGTCCTTGGTGGAAGACACACTTAAGCCTAGTTGCTGTTAATTGGAGATTTTTTTTTGATCAAGTAGCAGGACAAATGGGGTGAGGACACTCACTGATGGAGGTTCCACCTGCCAGGTCTTGGCTGTTCCAGCACAGGGTTCCCAGTAAGTAGGTGGTTATCAGCATGGGCTCTGGGCAGTGGCAGAGCAGACAGGACCAGCATGGCAGGTGCATGAAGTGGTGAGGGGGACACACTGGCAAGGCCCCTGTGGCCCTCAGCACTAGACTGCTAGAGGGTGCCCAGGGCTATACCACATCAGGTAGTGTGCTGGCTCTAGGCCTAGTTTCCTGCATGGGGGGCTAGGCAGACATCACCTAAACTGTGCTTTCTTAGAAAAAGAAATCCCTTCACATTACTTAGATGGGTTCTGCCTACTATATCCTTTTCCACAGACTAATCATACACATGAGGACATTATTTGACCCAACCTAGCTGTAGGGGGCAGGAAGGACCCAGAGCAGACGGGGCAAAGAAGGGGTACTGGAGTCCTCAGTGGCTTTTGCAGGCTTTTATTGGGATTTACCAGGTACACAGCAGGTAGGGGTACTGGGGGTCAGGAGGCTGGCAGGCCTCCCAGCCCCCAGCAAGTCTTCATTCTATTTGGGCTCTCCGGCGTTTTCTGGTGGCCTTGTTCTCTGCTGATCTTGTGGTTTTGCTTCTCTGCTCTCCCGTTCGTTCTTCCCGTGGTTCTGCTTTCTCTGCTTCTGCTGGCGTCCCCGCGATGCCGCCCTTAAAAGCCCAGTCTTAGCCCAGGTGAATCCCATCTACATATGCCCACACCCTATTCCAGGTGCCCGCCATCAGGCATGCATTCGGGACTGCAGGGTTCCGTCATCTATCCTGATGGCGGGAGGGCAGAAAAGCCTGACACTTTTTCCTTACCCTACACTAGCATTTTCCAAACTTATTTGAGCAGGGAATCCTTTTTCAGCATGACACATATTGTCTCAGAGTTAATGGTTCATGGAGTACAGCTGGGTTGCCCTGAGCTGCATCTCAGTTTTACTATGTTGTGTTTTAGGAGCAAGGGGCACCTGGGTCATTGTCTGCCCATGTGAGCCTGCAGGCACTCACCAGACTTAGACATCACACCTCTGTGGGGGTTAACGTTCTGCTCCAGTTACGTCACCACAGGAGACCTGGGGCCAGTTGTCAGGGAGGATCCAATGTGCCATCACCTGCTAGTGACTGATGAGTTTCCTGCACTGATTTGGGCAACTGTAGCCTTTGAAGATGCTCTGGAACAGCTGCTGTGCAGGTGGGGCGGGAATGAGCAGCCAGGAGCCTAATCCTCTTGGTGCTCATGCCTGGGGAACACTTGTGTTTTAGGTCATTAGCTCAGTGCCCACACCCAGGCTGGCTTCTTTTCCTCTGGTCTGTGTGCTTTTCCCACCCCATGTCTCTGGGCCTGTTCACTGACAACCACCACTTTGCCAAATAAATACTTTGGTTATTTCTTTCAAACCTTATTTCTTTTGAATGAGTCTATCTCTGGAGCCAGACTGTCTGGGTTCAAATCCAACCTCTGTCTTATCTTGGAGAAATTACTGAACTTCTTGGTCCTTTTCATTTTTCACTTGAAAAATAGCAACAGTCATAGTAGCACCCATCTTTGAGGGTTTGTATAGATTATAAAAAGCTTGGGATAATTATCAATACATTTTAGTTATATTTACTTAATTTTTTGGCAATTGTGTACAACTTGATGATGTTAATGACAGGTGATAATTTTTGCAATCTTAGTTGATCTGCTTCATTTGACTTTATTGCAGAATTAAAAAAAATTTATGTTGTCGAAAATGGTCATTGTTTAATCAAGTGATCAATATATTTACATTCAGAAAATTTATTTGGTTTATTCTATGTAGCATTCTACTTTGGGAACACGTTATTTATGATTATTTATGTTTTATTCTTTTTAAAGTCATGTCTGCTTTGCTCATATGTTAGCATTCATGGTCATTTGCAATTGACTTCTTTGGCTTCTACTCTACATTCAATCCATTGGCAAATCTTTACCATGTGCCCACATCTGAGCACTTCTCTCATTGCTCTTATCACCCAGGGCCATACCACTGTCATCTCTTGGCCAGGATCATTTCAACAGCCTCTTAATATGCCTGTTTGCTTCTGCCCTTGCCACCTCCGAATTCCACACCCTCGTCTGTTTTCCACATTGCAGTCAGTGTGACCCTTTGAAAATTAATTCAGATCGCATAACCCCTTCCTTCTGAACCTTCCAATAATTCTAGTCTTTACCCCAGCCTATATGATTTGCCCTCCCTCCTCACCTTCTCTCTCTAATTTCATATTCTACTCTGCCTCTACCACTCTGCTTCAGCTCCACTGCCTTTTTCCTGTCCCTGCACATAGTGAGGGTGCTTCTGTCTCAGGCCCCTTGTACTTATATACCCCTACCAAGAACTCTCTGGCCCCAACTCTCAGACGTTTCACCCACCCACTTTGTTTAAGTTTATTTCTTCATAATCCTTATCAACACTCAACATGTTATATACTTATTTGTTGATTGTCTGTCTTCTCCCAGTAGGAATTTTCATCTGTAGCTCACTAATGTATCCTTACCAGCTATAGCAGAGGTTGACCCACGGTAAGCAGGCCCTTAATGAATGCTATTAAAGGAATTAGGATAAAGAAAAATACCGATGATTTCACTTATAGGTGGAATATAGAGGAAACAAGCAAAAGGTGAGACAAAGACAAATCTTGAAAGCTGATCATAGATCTGAGGCACCCAGGAGGGGAGGTGCCCTGGAATGGAGGGGTGGGAACAGAAGGAGCAGAGCACATTGGATTATGACTGAAGCTACCAGAAGGGGCATGTGGTAGGGTGGGAGCAAAGGGGAGATGGGGTTCCAATGGAGGATTACTGGGGTTTTGGAGGTGGGTGTGGTGAAACAGCATACATTTGTAGAGGTGTAAACCTAGACTCCTAAGACATGTATTGTGATGTAAATAAATATTACCTTAATAAATATAACTTTATAAACACGCACACATACCCACAAAAGTGTGATCTCAATAAATAATTTTATATTGAAAAAAGGAATTAGTGAATGAAGGCATGTAAGCATGCATACATTTTAAGAGTCTGTTACTAATTTCTCAACGAGCATACATATTAATCTTTTCTATAGTTTCCTAGTTTATTTTTTCTTTATCAGATTTTAGGACTTTGAGGACATTAAAAAAAAAACTTCTTCTGAGTTTCATGTTTGTAGTTAACATATGCCCTGATGAAAATGATTTATACAGTTCATAGTGAAATTCCTTCTAGGTTTCTTCTTTTATCTTTCCAATGATTTATTATTACTTTTAAAAACAATATCATGAACTCTTTAAAAACTGGTAAGTTCTTCCCATCGATACTGAGTTCTATAAACTTTAGAGGCAGCTATAAACTTCTATAAATTCTATAAACTTAAAGGTCATTTTTTGATTTGGAGGTAAATTTGGTAAACTTGCTCAATTGGGTGTTTGGCAAATAGATTTTGGAGAAGCTGGTTTGCTAGTTTGGGCCTGGCCCCCTGCTGATCCCTGATTTCCCCCCCCCCCTTAAATATTCCCCCAGCTGCTCTGACTGACTTACACCTGCTTCTGCAGGTCAATGTCAGCACACAGAGCAACTGGCTTCACGTCAGCTCAGACGCCTGTCGCCTGGCCATCATCTGGAAGTATGGCGGCATCTACATGGACACTGATGTCATATCTATCAGACCCATTCCTGAACAAAACTTTTTGGCTGCACAGTCTTCTCGATTCTCTAGCAATGGAGTGTTTGGATTCCTCCCGCAGCACCCCTTCTTGTGGGAGTGCATGGAAAACTTTGTTGAACACTACAATTCACGTATCTGGGGCAAACAGGGCCCTGATTTGCTGACAAGGATGTTGAAAATATGGTGCACACTTACAGATTTCCAGGATGTGAGTGACCTGAAGTGCTCCAATTTGTCCTTTCTACACCCTGAAAGATTTTACCCCATCTCCTATAGGCAGTGGATGCGTTACTATGAAGTCTGGGACACAGACCCAAGCTTCAACAACTCTTATGCCTTGCATCTGTGGAACTACATGAACCAGAAGGGGAAGACTGTGGTAAAAGGAAGTAACACACTGGTGGAAAATCTCTACCGTAAGTACTGTCCCAGGACTTACAGAGACCTGATTAAAGGCCCAGATGTGTCGGTGACTGGAGAAATGGGCCCAGGTGAAAAATAGAACCAATGATGGGTTGCTGCTGCTACGTCATGAAAGGGCTACACTTTCACTTGATCTCCACTTTCCCCAGAGGCGTGGGGGCCTAGTCACGTATCAGGATCAACTTTCTCTGTCTATAATAGAAAAATCCCAAAGAACAATAGAATATAAAGTACAGAAGTTTATTTCTTTCTCATATAAAAGAAATCTGAAGGCAGGCAATTCAGAGTGAAAACAGTTGCTGCAATTATCAGGGCCTTAGTCTTCTTGTATTTTTCTTTTGTCATCCTTAGTATCCATAGCCCATGGTACATATGACTGCTTGATCTCCAGTCCATCATGTCTGCATTTCAGGCAACAGGATCAGTTATGAAAACTTCCTGCAAGTACCGTGTAATACTATTCCTTACATCTTATAGGCCAGAATGTACCTGTAAGGGAAGCTGGGAAATTTGAGCAAGATAAAATGGTTTTTGGGGTTGATAGCTAATAGTTTTGATATATGTTCTATATAAACTGTAATATTAATTCCAGGACATGTTAGAGAATTGAGGTGGGGAAATGGGTTTGATTATTAATGCTGATTTTGATATTCATTACTGCATTCAGTCGATAAACATTTAGCCCCTTGTATGTTCCAAGCACTGATGTAGGTGATAAAAATATGACTGGTTAAATATTTTGAATATCAGCCTTGAATTTCTAAGATGTATAGTTTTAAAAATCATAAATGGAATCCTATGATGCATATTATTATGTCAATTGTTTTTCACTCTAACCATATATTATGTCTTGGACACCTTTTATCATTAGCGGATCAAGACGTACTTTATTTTTCATAATGGCTGCAGAGTATTTCATTGTAGAATATATTGTAGTCTATTTAATCGCATTTCAATTGGTGGACCTGTAAGTTGATTCTAATTTAATAGTACAGGTAATACTCTAGCATTTCGAGGATTTAAAATTTTGATATGTGCTGTCAAATTGTTTTTAAAAAGGCTGTTTGAAATTGCCCATTTACCTATCCTTCACCAATGCCAAAAATCTATTTAATTTTGGTTATTAGCATAGTTTAAAATGTACTTAACTGTTGTGTTAATTTTGGTGAGGTTGATTGTTACATATGTCCAATCAGTAAAATATTTTTTCTTATTCTGTAAATTGCCTAGTATCTTTGGTCCAGTTTTCTATTGGGTTTTTTTTTTTTTTATTTCCAATTGATTTGTAATCACTCTTTGCATATTAAGGAAACTAACATTTTATTATTTGATTGCATTATTTTTCACTCTGACATTTGTTTTTTAACCTCATTTGTTATCTTTTCTTTCTTTTTTTTAAAAAATGTTTTAAAACTTTAGATAAGCTAATCTGTCATTTTTGCTCATGGTTTTAGCATTCCATTCCATACTTTCATACCCTTTTATTATCCCTCACCCTTAAAATAATAAAATTTGGCTTTCCCAACCAGATAACTGAAACCATGAGGCTTCAGGTGTAGTTTCTAAGCTAAGTGCATTGTTAATGTGCTTCTCTTGGTGATATTGGGCAAGGATTCCTACATTGGGGGCTCTGTGAATAGATTTTGGGGATCTATGAACTTACATCTTAATTAAATTACATGTTAATTAAAATCTATTAACTCCTTCAACTATTAGTATAGGCTACAAACCACAGCAGTATTAGTAATCACTGTGACTTTGTCATTTTTAGCCATCACACATATCATATATCATATTAAGGTGATATTGCAGAGGAAAGTCCATCAAAGTAATTTACTACATCAATGAAAGGATAGATAAAAAACATTTGATCATTTTTAAAAGAGATTTATTTATTTATATAAGCACTGGTGTATAGGCCAGAGGCATGGGAGGGTGAGAGTATTCACCCAAGACAGAGCAGGAGCAGAACAGGCAGAAGGACAAAAATACACTGCTGAGGGGAGCAGTAGGTGAGACAGGAGAGGTCTGCCGTGCCATGTGGGAATCCCCCTGGCTGGCCAGGAATCGAACCGGCGCTGCAGAGGCTGCGGACACTGCTGTGCTCAACCTGCTGCACCACTGGGGAGACCCAACATTTGATCATATTAATAGATGCTGAGAAAGCATTTGATAATATTCAACATTCATTTATGATGAAAATTCCAGAAAAACTAGTGATAGATGGAACATATTTCAACATAATAGACACCATAATGACAAAGTTACAACTAACATTACTCTCAATTGTGAAAAACTGAAAGCTTTTCCACTAAGATTTGGAACAAGGCAAGGATATCCACTTTACTACTACTATTCAACATAGCATTGGAAGTTCTAACTAGAGTAACCAGGTAAGAGAATGGCATAAAAGGAATCTAAATTGGGAAAGAAGAAGTAAAGCTATCATTATTTCCAGAAGACGTGATAATATATAGAGAGAACCCTTAAGACTTCACTAAACAACTAATTGGAACAACAAAGCAGTTCAGCAAAGTGGCAGGTAACAAAATCAAAACACAAAAATCAATTGCCTTCCTATATGCGAACAATGAGTTGGAAGAGGAATAAATTAAAAAGATAATCCCATTTACAATTATGTAAAAAAAAAAATGAAACACCTAGCATTATACTTAACAAAGAAGAGTTCCATAAAACTCTGAAACTGAATGACCTATACAAAGAATACTATAAGGCATTATTAAAATAAATAGAAAACACAAAGAAATGGAAACCTATTCATTGTTCATTGATTGGAGGAATTAGCATTATCAAAATGGCCATCGTAGCAGATCTTAGATCAGAGACATTAAGGAGTGGGAGGAGAGAGGTTAGAAGAGAGGAAGAGTAGAGAATGGGAGAGGGAGAGTGTGGTAGAAGACTGTGGACACTCTGGGAAAACTATATTGTGGAAAAAATAAACAAGGATGTTTAAAAAATAATAAATAAACAACATCCCACTGAAAGCAATATACAGATTCAATGCAATTCCTATCAAAGTTTCTATGGTATTCTACAAAGATATAAAACAAACATTACTGAAATTCATATGGAACCACAAAATATCCTGAATAGCCAATGCAATCCCAACAAAGAAGAGGAAGAATGGATGCACCCTATCCCCAACTTTAAACTATACCACAGATCTATAGTAATCAAAACAGCACAGTACTAGAACAAAAATAGACACACAGGCCAAAGAAATAGAATTGACAGCCCGGAAATAAATCCAGTAATATCTAGACGGTTAATTTATGACAAAAGAGCTGGGAGTATACACTGGAGGTCTGCCGTGCCATGTGGGAATCTCCCTGGCTGGCCAGGAATCGAACCGGCGCTGCAGAGGCTGCAGACACTGCTGTGCTCAACCTGCTGCACCACTGGGGAGGAAACTCTTCAATAAATGGTATTAGGAAATTGGACAGCTGCTTGCAAAAGAATGAAACTAGATGACTATCTCAAATCAGACACAAAAATCAACTCAATATGAATAAACGACTTGGATGCAAGGCCTGAAACTGTAAAATACATAGAAGAAAATGTTGGCAAACCACTTCATGACATAGGCTTCAGAGATATCTTTGTGAGTTCATCTCCAGTAGCAAGGAAAACAGTGTAGAATAGAAACAATTGGGACTACATGAACTGAGGCTACCAGTGGGGGTGGGGAGGAAGAGGATTGAGAACAAAGTGGAGAGGGCTCACAATAGTGGTGTACTACAAGGGGTGCAGTGTGGTAACACCACCTGAAGGGGGAGATCCTGAACTTATAAAACACAAACAATGTTGGAAACCAATGTTATCTCAATTAAAAAAAAATCATGCTTGATATGTTTAAAAATTTGTAAGTCAATATTGAGAATTTCAGCTGAAAAGTAGAAAATATAAGAAAGGAAAATTACTAAACAGTACTTAGATTATTTTGATTATAGAATATTGTTACTATAAAACCAATTTGTATCATTGGTGATAAAATAATTGCTATGCCTGTAAAACTGTGCCAATCAAATTGAAAATACTTCAAGAAAAAGAATAAATGAAATGTTTTCTTTAAAAAAAGGTTATTGCAGAGATATTAAAACATTGTTTACAACTTTACTATTTTTAGATTAGGTGGTAGATTCTGCTATTTAATGCATTAATAAACAAAATATGATTATCAAAAATCTTAATAATAATGTTTTGATAATCATATTTTCAATACATTGATGTCTGCTATAATCCTACATTTTATTTCAAGTATTTGTAAAACATTCTAAGAAATCATAGGTTTCATCAAATTGCCTAAGAGTATTCCCACATAAAAAAGACAGAGCTCTAGGCTGGAAGTCCTGGGGCAATTGGTTACAGATCTCCCTTATCACTGCCAGACATAGAGCAGCCAGGTCACAGCTCACCTGCCAGGTCTTGAATTTGTGTCTAGACTCAGAAAGCAGCACATAGTTAAGCACATGGTTTTGCAGGACAGAGATTTTTCCTGAAAAGGAAGACTTTTCTGTAATTGTACAGATTTCAAAATGATTTTTTTCAAGGAAAAGGCTCTGCTTAGGAAAGAGGTGCCCTCTTTTCTCCAGACAATTCTTATGAGAGTGCAGACCCTTTGTTACCAGATTCTCAGAAATTTCGAGGGAAATCAATAAACCAGGTTTTGTTGTAAACCCCCCCTCTAACTCCATGCCTGTCTACCTATACATCGACTGGGGAAAATCCAATATGCCTTTGGCCTAAAATCACCTCAGGGACCCTCAGCACTAGGAGACCTGTCCCTCTTGCCTCAGTTGCCCTTCAGGAAAGTGGAACCTGGAGCTGGCTTCCAAGGTGTGATGTGAGCAGTTGGCAGCAGAGGGCACTCCTATTGGCTGAGATTGCAATCCATCTCCAATCAGCAGAGGAGTCCCACTGTTTCCTGACACATCCTTGGAATAAGACCAGTCATGGTGGTGATACCGAACGCTGGCCTCGGTTTCTCTCAGCCAATAAAAGGAAACAGAGTTTGAGGAAAAGGAAAGTGGTTTAATTTGTTGACAAATGCAGACTCATGTCTGAAAGACAATTGTCCTGCTCTTTGGCAGAGTTCAGGGGTATTTATACAAAGGGAAAAAAAGGGGAAGATGGGCAAGGGTCTGCAACAGGGAGGTGGAAGGGATTGGCATGGAAACTAATAGGCGCCAGCTTGCTTTTTTTCAACAACTGCTCTTTAACTCCCTTTTCCTTGGAATGCAAGAAGACAAACCTGTTAAACAAGGGTGAAATTACAAGAAACATGGGAAAGACAAACTTGTTAATGCTTATCTGAGAGACCAGTCATTTGTAATTGCATCAGTGGTGTCTGCTACCAGGCTGAGGAGGGGTGGAGAGGCTATAGATGAGGTGAAACTGCAGATATTGACAGTCCACACTTCAGCCTCCACCCAACAGTTATGGCCTAGCTGCTCAGGGTGACAGGAAAGTCTTCTAGACAAGCCATATAGCGTCAGCTCTGCTGGTCAGTTGCTACCAGGGGGGCAGTATCCAGTGCTAAAAGATCTAGTCCTCTGTAAATTTCGTTTCCTTGGGACATAGAGCTTGGCACAGAGTAGGCACTCCATGACTCTTGACTGTGTTGAATGTTGAATAGTGGCCCAGGAAGGGAAAGATGAGAGGATTCCAGGCATGGAAGTGTTATAGGGTAGCCCTGATATTGATCGGGTTGCCTGGCTGTGGGTCCTCACCCGCGCGCTTAAAAGGGACTTATGAATACTCCACTACAGGCATACACAAAAGGTTAATAAAAGGTTTATTTACAAGGGAAAAGGAAATAAGGAAAATGTACAACTCAGGGAGAAAATAGGGAAATAAAGTCTTAAATGCGTACTACCCGATCCGCCGACCTGGAAACCCAAAGGCACTCTCAGAGCTGGCTGGACGCTGCGAGCTGGCGGAGAGCCAAAATGGGGGAACCCCCCCAAGCCCACATGTCTGGCTTTATATCAACCTGGCTGCTTAACCCCACCCTCAGGTCCCGCCACCTTCCCTTTGGTGGTGATGGGATTTGGAGTTCCCAGTGTCTTTGGCTTTGGCCTGGGGTGGGGGTGGAGTCCACAAAGCCTGTATGGAATTAGCTTTAGGACATCCTTTTCCCCCTAACAGAAGGTCTGGGTAAGCTGAAGATGGAGTCTTTAACTTTTGGTGTTATCGACAAGGTGGACCTGGGTGCACATCGAGCTCACTTTTTCACAATAATCCTGAGTAGTATACTATTTACACATGGGGAAATAAGGTCTAGAGGGTGTGACAAACACAGACACAGGTACCCCCAGAGCTACTTTCTGCTGCATGTTTCAGTGGGGAAGACAATAGAGAAATGAATTCTCCAAGCCCCTCTCTCTACTTCCCCCAGATTCTACGCTAGACTGAACCTGGACTATCAGTGACTGCCAGGCCCCAGCTGAACCTTGAGAGGCTTTAATTTGGTTCTCATAATAACCTTGCAAGGTAGAGTTTATTTTTTCCCATTTTACAGAGAGGTTAAATGATTTTTCCAGATTTACACAGCTTGGGAAGGTGTAGTGTAAATGTGTATTCACTCCCAAGCCTGAACTCTTCTCTCCTCTTTAGCCGGTGGCAGGAACCCTGGGGAGAGAAAGATTTCCCTGACCAGGAGAGGAGTGGAAGGATAACATTACCCATCTGAGAAGAGGATTCACAGGCATGCCTGCCCTTCCACTTTAATTTTTTATACATTTAAAAAATAGTGATAAAATATACACACAAATTTACCATTTTAACCATTTTTTAAAAATTTTTTTTAAAGCAAATTTTTAAAAAAGATTTATTTATTTATTTATACAAGCACTGGGTATAGTCAGAAGCACGGGAGGGTGAGAGAATTCACCAGAGCCAGAGCAGGGAGCAGAGCAGGCAGGGGGACCGAGGTACACTGCTGAGGGGAGCAGCAGGTGGCAGGAGAGGTCTGCGCGCCATGTGGGACCCTTGCCCGGCGGTTGGGGATCGAACCTGCGCTGCAGAGGCTGCGGGCAGCTTTGCAACCCAGCGCTCAACCGCTGCGCCACTGGGGAGGCCCCCATTTTAACCATTTTTAAGTGTACAACTCAGTGGCATTAAGTACACTAACATTGTCGTACAACCAGCACAACATCATCTCCAAGTGAAATTCTGCACCCATTAAACAATAACTCTCTATACTCTCCTCCTCCTGGAAAGTACCATTCTATTTTCTGTTTCTATGAATTTGAGTATAAGAAGAACAATATAAAAATTTGTCCTTTTGTTACTGGTTTCTTTCCTTTTTTTTTTTTTTTTTTAAAGATTTATTTATTTATGCATATAAGAGCTGGGGTACAGGCCAGAGATGCAGGGGGTAAGAGGATTCACCAGAGACAGAGCGGAAAACAGAACAGGTAGATTGACTGAAATACACTGCTGAGGGGAGCAGCGGGCGAGACAAGAGAGGTTTGTTTCGCCATGTGGGTTTCTCCCTGACCGGCCGGGGATCGAACTCGTGCTGCAGAGGCTGCGGATTGCTTCATATCATGGTGCTTAACCCCTTGCGCCACCAGGGAGGCGCTGTGACTGGTTTATTTTACTTAGCATAACGTTTTCAAGGGTCATTCATGTGGCTTGTATCAGATTTCATTCATTTTTTAAGACTGAATAATATTCCATTGTATAAAAGATACCCAATGGAATGGGATAACATATTTGCACACCATACATACATCTGATGAGAGTGATATCCAAAATATACAAAGAACTCATACAACTTAACAAAAAGAAAACAAATAATCAAAAAATGGGCAGTAGAGCTAAACACTTCTTCAGTGAAGAGAGGCAAGTAGCCAATAGTCACATGAAAAATAATCATTATCACTTATTATCAGGGAAATGAAATCAAAACCACAAGGAGATACCATCTTACATGTGTGAGAGTCATCCATATCAAAAAGACCAGAAAACAAGTATTGTGAAGATGTGGAGAAAAAGGAACCCTCTTACACTGTTGGTAGGAAAGTAAAATGATGTAGCCTCTATGGAAAAGAGCATGGAGGTTTCTTAAAATATTAAAAATAAATCTACATGTGATCCAGCAATTCTACTCCTAGGTATCTCCCTGAAGAATGTAAAACACTAATTTAAAAAGATATATACCCCCCTTTGTTCACCGTAGCACTATTCATAATAGCCAAGTTATGGAAACAACCTAAGTAGCCAAGGACAGAGGAGTGGATTGGAAAAATGTGATACATATGCACAAAGGAATATGACTCAGACATAAAAAAGATGAACACTTGTTATTTGCCGCAATATGGAGGGAAATGGAAGGGATAATGCAAAGCAAATAAGTGAGAAGGAGAAAGACGAATATGTGAAATACAAAGAAACAAAACAGAGAAAACCAAACTGACTATGGAATTGAGGCTATAATTGTGTGTGTGTTTGTAAGAATTGGGGGCATAGTGGGTGGAGGGCTATGGGTGTCTTGGTGTTGGGTGTGGTGAGAGAACATGCAACTGAGGAGGTCTGATCTTATGCCTCAAATCACAATGTTGTAAACCAATTCTACCTCAATTAAAAAAAATATTTTCGAGTCCACCACATTTGTTTATCATTTTATCTGTTGATGGGCATTTGGGTTGTTTCTACCGTTTATCTTTTCTTTTTTATTTTTTAAAAAAGATGTATTTATTTATGTGTGCAAGAGCTGGGGTGCAGGCCAGAGGTGTGGGGTCAGAGTGTGAAGATACACCAGATACAGAGTGGGGAGCAGAACAGGCAGATCCACTGAAATACACTGCTAAGGGGAGCAGCGGGTGAGACAGGAGAGGTCTGTTGCCCCATGTGGGTCACCTCCCTGGCCAGGGCTTGAACACTTGCTGTAGTGGCTGCTTATTGCTTCAGAGTGCCGTGACTTAACCTCTTGTACCACGAGGGAGACCCCTGTTTCTACCTTTTGGCTCTTGTGAATAATGCTGTTATGAACATGTGTGAACAAATATCTGAGTCCCTGCCTTTAAGTCTTTTGGCTACATACCCAGAAGTGAAATGACTGGCTCCTATGGTAATTCTATGTTTTATTTTTGAGGAACCGCCGTTCTCTTTTCTACAGTGGCTTTGCCATTTTACATGTCCACCAGCAGTGCACAAGGGTTCCAATTCCTCCATCTCCTTGGCAACACTTGTTCCCTAATGCTTGGCCTGCCCCAAGATATAGCCTGGCTATTGAAGCTGGGGTTGGGAGAAGGCCTGAACAACACCAACAAAAATTGCCGGAAATCTGAACATCAGTAAGGGAAAGACTGACTATGGGAAAGGATCAGGGACTGCTATCAGGAAAGAAAACCCTTTTGGTTCTGGGTTTGTTGGAGGTATCTCATCTCACCAGGCCAGGGACTCACCCAAAAGAGTAATATGGGCTTCAGTCCTTAACCAGAAATGTTTCATTAATTTAAGCCTAGTGGATCAGCGGCTGTGTGTGTGTGTGTGTGTGTGTGTGTGTGTGTGTGTGTGTGTGTGTGTGTGTGTGTTCTCTTGCGGGCTAGAGAAAGGTTCTCAGGCACGGAATCCCGCCTGGCAGGCTGCACTGGGGTGGGCGGGTCGGTTTTGTTTCCCCGCCCCGCAGCGTCTGGGCCTCCCCCGGCTGAGGAAGCATCCCCCGGGTGGGTGAGGGTTCCGGGAATGGCCTCGCTGCAGTCCCGGGTGGTGCAGCCAAGTCGGAGGCGCGGCGGGGGCGACCTTGGGACCTCTGCCCACAATCCCCAGGCTCCGGGGCCCCCAGGTGAGCCGGGCGGTGTGGGGAAACTATGCCAGGAATTCGATCCAGGAGGGGCGCTGTGGGGAGCGACCTTGCAGTCCAGTGATCGCGGGCCGCAGGAAGGTTAAACGTTGGCAGCTCTTGACGCCCACGGAGGTCCAAGCCCGGGAGCTGCGCCTGGGCTCGACCTCCAGACATCGGTTCCTGCGCCAGGTTGGCCTTCACTCTCAGCGCCTTCAGCCTGCGGTGGACTAAGTTCCAGGGAGGCGAGCAAGGAACAAGGTACGACTGAGTTTCATTGGGAAGACAGCCGCGGTGGAGTCTTACTTTTTGAAAAAAGTAAAATGATCTGAGGGGAGGAGAATATGATACTTTGAATTCTGCAGGTAAAGAGGGAATCTTTTAGTAAGGAGATGATTTAAAAACAAAGGCACAGGCATGTGTGGTCCATGAGATGTCCTGCTCCTGGGCTGGAGTTTCGCGGGAGGCAGAAAAAGTATTTTCATTTTGAGGTGGCTACAGATAAAATTTCGTGGGGGATTTGCTTTACCTGTTGGGGGCCCTGGAGAAAGGGACAGAGAAGGGTCTCCAGAAGGCCTGACTGGGAGCACCTGATACTGGAGGTGTCAGGCCTCAGCTCTCAGCACTCCATTGGGCCCACTGCCTGCTACCCCTGCTGATGGGTTGGCTCCTGGATGTGATTCCTAACAGAACTTTGAAGTGCGGTCTGGTGAGTGTGAAAAGTGTGGCTTCCCACACCCCCATCTGCAGACAGGATGGTTGGTCTCCTTCTTCTGCACTATCTCCCCAGCAGCCCTGCCCCTCCCACCTCCAACTGGGAACTGGTTAGTGAGACCCAGAGCAACCCCACCAGGTTAAGCTTTGTTCTCCAGTAAGTGGCTGATAAGCAGTCTTTTGTCCATCTTTGTTCACACACGAAACATCTGGAGTCATCTTTCTCATAAAGTTTTTTGGACACCATTTAACTTGATAAAATGGCCCCATGAAAATTATATGCTTCAAGTTGAACAGAAACCTGAATTCATTTGTGCAAAGTAATCAGGTCCTTCCAGGGAACTGGTATTTGGCCAAAAGGCTTGTTGCTTAACTGGAACTGACAGGAGCAGGGAAGGGGACCACTTGGGGGATTGTTCTGAACTACCTCTGTGTCCCTTGCAGGTCAGCAGGGTTAACCACCTGCCACTAGGCCTGACACCTCCAGGGAGGGTTTTGTGGGGTCTGATGGCTCAAGCACTGAAACAGAGAGATTTTACCAAGAAGCCATGATGCTTCCATGGGAGGGAAACACCAGGGTATTCTAAACCGCTCTTCTTTTATTTTTATTTTTATTTATTTTTTAATTTTATTTTTATATTCTCCATACAATTGCAACCCCCTTATTTTGCCCCCAATCCCTCCTTTCCCCGCCCCCCACCCCATAGAGTGTCTCTGGTTCATAGTTGTTTGTTGATTTGATATTTTCTTTCTTATAGTTATTCTTTTTCCTGGTCCCTTATTTAGGTTTTCTAGATTCCTGCTATGAGTGAGACCATCCGGTATTTTTCTTTTTCTTTCTGGCTTATTTCGCCGAGCATGATCCCTTCCAGCTCCTTCCATGTTGCTGCAAATTGCATGTTAAACTGCCCTTCTTTTAGATGTGAGAAGCAGTTGTGATTTTGACAGTTCTGTACTTGGGAAGACAGGTCATGTCAGTACATAATTTTCTCCACTTAATATTCCTAAGAGATGCTAATCAAATTCCTACCCTGAATTTTTATTTTGAAGAAAGTCCTTTTGTGGTAAAAATGTAAATTAAGCTTTTTACTGAAGGGTGGACACTGTCTTAAAAAATATCTCTTTAAAGTTGCTAGGAAAGTTGTGTGCTTGGTGCTGTGGTTCTCTTTCTCTTGTTACTTGATGGTTCTGGAGGTGGGTCCAGCCTCCATGAAAGATAAGAATGGAAAGGGGGATTCATTTCTTTAGCACAATCGAATTAGAGAACAAATTCTAAGTCTGTTATGGTGGAGCTCGAGGAGAGCTCCTGGGTCACTGTCATCTCTGTTGGGGGTTCTAGCACTCCCTTGCCTACTGTGTAAGAGCAGCTTGTTTGCAAACTGTGCAGGGTTTCCTTGGCAGCCACAACAATTAGCACTAATGACACACCTGAGCTCCCCTGGGGCAGGCACAGCCGAATTTAGCTTGGGAGCCAGAACACTCTTGTAAATATCTAGCTGCCTTCTTGGAAGCTTGGCCCCTCCAACTATTCCTTTTATCTGCATTCTGTGGGAGCAGAAGAGAGTGAGGTTAGCGGTGGTGGTGTAGTGTAGCTGTCCGTTTATATTAAAAGATCAGGCACTTTCTGTTAAAAAATCAGTTGCTTGGCAGGCTATGTGGAAGTTATCCTTGACAAATTATAGGTGGACAAGGTTTCAGAAGAACTGTAGAGTTCCCAGGAAATGTTTCCAGTGGATGGATGCCTTGTGAGGTGGTGACTACCCCATTGCTGGGGGTGGGCAAAGCAAGGGTGGTAGACAGGCTTCCTCGCCTATCTGAGATCGTCCCAGGTAGAAACTACCTCTTCAACAATGAAGTAAGTTTGATATGCTACCATAAATATTCTTTCAGGTCCAATGTATTTCATGACATTGGTCTAGGAAAGGGAAGTTTTCTGAGACCCTCATCTCATGTTAGAGAAGGTTAACACAGCTGCATATTTTCTAATGACAGTAATTTCTTCCTTGTGTTTCTGTAAGAAGAACAGTGAGGATCAAACTCGGAGCCAGCTGCTGGTGCTCCTCAACAACAGAATGATAGAAGGTGGAGCTCTCCAGATTCCACCCCCTGAGTGGGGCCTGATGGGTAAAAGGGGCAGAGCAGGGACTTTGACAGTGAAGCTTACTGGGGATTTGATAGTTGAACGGCTGGTACTTTGGCGGTTGTATTGTAACAGGGTGGTCCCCAGGAAAGGGGGAGGTTCCCTGCCCCACCCAAGGGAGGGTGGAGCTGAGCAGGAAGAGGAGAAGCTGCAGAAGAGACTGAGGAAGGAAGCAGGATGGAGCCAGGAGACCTGGAGGAGGCCCATGGAGCCTAGAGACACGTGAAGAAACTGCGCTTGTCTTTTGGTTGTGGACTGGGTGACACAGATGTGGGTAAGACCCATGGGGAGGTGACAATGGCAGCTTTTATTTTGATGTTGATTTTGCTCTTTTCCTTCCGGGCTTGTCTGGTTGTTTGTGACCCTTTTTTGTGGGTCCCCACTGGAAGATGCTTTAGACTTGTGGCAGGCTTTGGGGCCTTGCTCTGGGCCAATCCCATTTGGATGGACTTTTACCCACGAGGGGATGGGTAACTTTGGGTGCTTCATTTAGAAACTAGACTTTGCCTTTCCTGTATTGTTTCCTAGTTTTATTAAAGTTCCTTCCCATTAAAGTCTCATATGTTTTGTATTGATGCGGCGGATGGCAGAACCCTACATAGAATAGGCAGGTTTGCAGGGTTTGGGCTACCCCTCTCCCTGTCCTATAACAGTATTGCTGAGGCATTGGCAGTTAACCACTGGTGAGGAGTAGTGACCATGGAGAAGCCGCCAACTTACCACATTCAGCTTTGGCTTGGCCTTCAGTCCCTGTGCAGTGGACATCTTCTAGGGTAGGACAGATAGCATCTGGTCAGGTGCCAACAATAAATTCTCTCTTCTTCTCTTTCTCTCTCCCTGTGTAAATAAATCCTGTTTTTTTTTTTTTTTTCCTTCTCACCACTGCCTGCTTTTTGGTCGTATCTTGCCTTTGTAAATGCATGGGTGAAGACCCACCATCTGGGTCCAACCCTGTCTCCTGCATTTGTCCTGTTTCATTTATATTCCCAGAAGTGGGAAAATCAGTCTGCTGATAATTCATTCTGGAGAAAGCATGGTGTCCCTGCTCCCTGGAGTATATGGTTTCCAGGTAACTGCAGTACTGTCATTTGGCTTTGTCTTCTGCCTATCTTAACCAGAAGAAAACCATGGAGTGGAGTCCAGTTCAGCTTAGCCCTGCCAGGATGGGGGAAAGCTTAGTGTTTCCAGCACTGAACCTGTTGTGATTTGACAAATGCTTCAGTTCTTGCAGTTTGTTCAAGAAATCTCAGGTACTGTAATTTCTATAACGGGCAGTAGTTTATATTAATATGTCATCATCACCATCATTGGAGGATAGTTTAGCAATATTGAAAAGCTCTGGAGTCAGACAACTTGATTTGAACCCTGACTTCATGATGTAGTTGCTGAGTGACTTGGGGCATATGCCTAGTTTTTCTGACTCTCAGTTTCTGCCTCTATCAGATGAGGCAAATCATAGTTACAAACAGGCTAAATGACAGCTATAATAGAAATAGCACTTTTAAAGACCGGTATTGTCCTGGCACATAGATACTCAATAAGCGGTGTCTGCTGTCATCATCATCATCTTCAATTCCCACAGTTTTGCTATCTTTTAATGTCAGAGACCCATGACTTCTGCGATTTGGACCCTTAGGGTTCTATTGGAAGATGGGAGTGATACTCTAGAGTTCAGCAAAAGCTTATGAACTCAAGCTCCCCTCCCAATTCAGAATTCCATATAATTGGGAGCGGGGTGGCCACTTTCAGTGGTTAGAGTGCTCAGAATGTAAACTTGAAGGTTTAAAGGCTGCTGAGGAAGCAAGCTCTAACACTGCAGCCACATGTTGATAGTGGGCTCCCTCATGTGTCTGAGCCTGACCTCAGGGCCCCTGCACTCTGCTTTCATTAGTGGCCTGCTGATTGAGCTGTGGATATGGAGAGTCAGCCAATCAATGATTTTACTAAGTCTGAATAACATTTCTCTCTCATGAGTCCAGATTAATGACTTCATTCTTTTTCTTTATCCTAATTCTTGCTGCTCATAGCCTTACTTCCTCAAGACCCCAAGAACATAGAAACTTGAAGCAGGTATTCTAAGATTTTTGACAATTCAGTTCAGTAGCAATCTGGACTGTAGGGAACATGTATGGAATGTAATACAAAAGATATGAGTAAACCACAGTCTTACCCCTTCTGGAGCTCCTAGCTGGGGGGAGTGTAGAAGAGAAAGGAGGCAGAAATGTCCTGGTGTGGCACCCTTCTACCCACAGCACCCTGCCCTAGCTCCTATGCTGGTATTTACTTCTCTGCAGGGGGAATTTCTGTATTTTTTTTCTGTCTTTTCTAAAGAATGTTGTGGACCAGACACCATCATTGACTAGTTAAACTCTGTATATGCTTTCATTATGATGGAAGAACTTGTTGCCTGGGTTTTTTAACTTTTTTTCTTTCTGGCTTATTTCTCTGAGCATGATCCCTTCCAGCTCTATCCATGTTGCTGCAAATTGCATGTTAAACTGCTCTTCTTTTAGATGTGAGAAGCAGTTGTGATTTTGACAGTTCTGTACTTGGGAAGACAGGTCATGTCAGTACATAATTTTCTCATAATTAGCACTAAGTGCCACTCTCAGTGTTTGGCACTTGTGGGAATTTAGTGGTCATTTGTTAATGGATGGATGCAGATTGCATAGCCACCCCAACGCAGACCAGAGTTTGGTGAAGGTGACCAAAGGAAGGTGTGCTCTGTGTTCTGGGGAACCCAGAGGAGGGTAAGAGCACCCTGGTTGTGGGCCTGGGAGGAATTTATTTTAGTCCTCATGTCTGAGCTGGACCTTGAAGTATGTTTTCACCTTGAGGAGGAGCAGAAGGAAGTGGCAGGGAACCATGTATTCCAAGAGGCATTATAGGCTTGTGGCAAAGAGCTCAGGCTCTATAACCAGGCTCCTGCCTTCTGCACCTTGGGCAAGTCTCTTCACTTTTTTGTGCCTTAGATAATTGTAGTACCTCTTCAAGGGATTGTTCTAAGGGTGATGTGAATTATTCTTTGTAAAGCACTTACAATGCCTGGAAAGAAAACAAACAATCCAGAGATAGGTAAGTATGGACAGCAAGTAACATGGTAACTGAGGATGCAGTTAGAAAGGTAGTTTTGAAACAGTTCATTGAGGTCTTTGATTATCTTCTTAATGAATTTGGAACTAGCCCATGAGGAACACATATAAGCCATTCCCTTATAGCTGAAGTTCAATGGTGTTACCCCTTTTAACCAGGGCATATTCGCTTCGTTTTGCTACAACCCGCAACACTCCCTACTGCTGTGCTTCGGAATCACTAAGTCTGGAGATCTGCATTTCTGATGAGTTTCCAGGTAATATGATATTGTTGGGACCCAACTTTGAGAGTCGCTGCCTAATTATATCTTAGATCCCAAGATGGGGAATCGGTTGCTATTTTTCATTAAACTTATACTGTGGCTTCTCTTATCCTTGACATGCTTCCTGTATTAACACTATCTTCCTGGTCTTGATGGAACTTACATCTGTAATTTATGATGTAATCACAATGCAAGGCTCAGTCTACAGGCCCCAAGAGTTGGATGGGCCAGAGAGAAAGAGATAGGGAAGTGGCTGAGGCTTAGCTGAGGTTGTGAGCAAACAGCATAATATATGGGGTATTGGCACTCTGTCTTAAGAAATAAAGGATATAGCTGTTAAAGACAGTTCAGAGAAGGGGCTTCCCTGGTGGCGCAGTGGTTGAGCGCTGAGTTGTGAAGCTGCCCGCAGCCTCTGCAGCGCCGGTTCGATCCCCGGCCACCAGGTGAGGGCTGCTCCCCTCAGCAGTGTGCTTCGTCAGTCAGTCTGCCTGCTCTGCTCTCCCCTTTGACTCTGGTGAATTCTCTCACCCTCCCGCACTTCTGACTGTACCCAGTGCTTGTATAAATAAATAAATAAATAAATAAATAAATCTTAAAAAAAAATAGAGTTCAGAGAAGGAGTGTTCAGAGAAATGGGGAGAGAACTGAGAGATTTGCTGATAGAACGTTCTGGGTGTTATCATTACGGAGGCCTGTGGGCAAACATCTGAGACCAAAGCTTAAATAGTTAATCAGTGAGTTCTCAGGTCAGGGTCGGACAGGAGTCAGGTGTTCTGTTACATTTAGCACGCCTGGTAACCTGCTGTTGCTCTAAGGCACAGCTTGTTGTGGCAATTGTCTCTGAGGCTCTGGTGATATTGTTGCAATGTGGAGCTCAGCATAGTGAGTATCATGTCCCCTACCTCCTCTTTTTTTTTTTTTTTAATAGCTTGACACCTTTAGTAGAAGTTGACTGACCTTCTCCTCTTGGTGGTGGTAAGGTGCTTGTGGCTAGACGGTTTTGATTTTGGAGAATGTTTTGGGGAAAGGAAACTGAGGCAGGGAAGATAGGATCTAGCCTGAGAAGGTGGGTCAGTAGCATTCCACGCTAAGGGGTTTGGACTTGTCCTGTAATGGAGCCATGCCGAGCTCCCTGGTGGGGGTGGATGTGATCTTACTACTCCTTGGTAGCCGCAATGCCAGCCACCAGGCCTGGCCCAAGTAGGCAGGCTGTAAATGAGGGGGGCGGTGGGATGAGGGAATGAGTGAACAAGTGAATGAGCTTAAGGGATAAGGGGCGATGATCTGATCAAAGCAAAGTTTTAAGACAAATGGCCTTAAGGATCAATGTTGTATAGTTCACAAGATTTGGACCAGATGCACCTCCAACTATACTTCTACTCTGGCATTCTTATCCCCCCAGGCAAGCTATTTATTCTCTCCAGACATGAATTTCCTTGTTTATAAAATGAGAATGGCAATAGTTGCTTGTAGGTTTGTATTTAGAGTTTGTGACTGGCACAGAAGCTGGCACCCACTGCACTGCAGCCAGTGTTATTACTGCATGCCTTCCCTTACATCTACAAGTCGCATTGCACCCTGGGTGTAGCTAGGGCGGGCTGTCCCTGCCCGTCACTGCCTTTCGCAGATGAAGATAGACTCAGCTGGGTAAAGGGCCTTTCTTAAGGGCCTTGTCCTTCTTTTGCAAACCCAGCCGTACTATTTCCTCCAGACCTTTTTCCTTCAGGAAGTTAATAACCTTTTTCTTCTCTGACCTATTGGACTAAAATGTCTGAATCACACATATATAAAAGAATGTAATTAAATAGGATCACATGTATGTCTTGTTGGCCTAGGCAGAATCTAAGTTCCCAAGGGCAGAAACTGTATTTTTTTTTTTAAATTTTGATGAAAGTAATAGATGATGATGCAAAGAACTTTGAATAGTACAGAAGTAGCATAATGTGGAGAATAAAGTTCTATAACTTCTTTTTCCCAATGGTAACCATTACTAACAGCTTGTTTGTGTTTCTAGAAATAGTCTAAGCTGTTGAGATAACATATATAGTGAAAATATACAAAAAGAATAAATTAGTAAATTTTATTTATGATTATATGTGGAAAAAATGTAAATTATTTATTTATGTGTATGTATTTATATATGTGTGTGTCATTATCACCACTGGTGTAAGGCCTGTCTGTATATGTCTGTCTGTCCATCCTTCTCATACCTGTGCATATCTATTCATTTATTTATCTCCATTTAATATCGCCATTGTCTTCCTCCCTCATAGACAGCCATTGTAATATTGCCATTGTAATATATATATATATATATATATACACACACATATATCCATATATATACACACATACATATACAGGTATATTCAGATATATAGATAGATAGATCTCAGTTTCATGTTGTGCTTGTGTTATTATTAAATGTGATTATATTAATATACCCTTTAAATGGAAATGGAATATGTATATGTGATCATTTTTCTATGTCAGTACATGAGATGTTTGCAGCATCATAGGATTCTAGAACTGTTAATTGCTTACATTATGATGGAAGAGCTTGTTGCCTGGGTTACCATTAACACTGAGTGCCACTCTCAGTGCTTGGCACTTGTGGGAATTTAGTGGTCATTTGTTGATGGATGGATGCAGATTGCATAGCCACCCCAACGCAGACCAGGGTTTGGTGAAGGTGACCAAAGGAAGGTGTGCTCTGTGTTCTGGGGAACCCAGAGGAGGATAAGAGGGTAATTCTTAGTAGTGGAATGCTCATTTTTAAATTCCTATTTGCAATTCACAGAAGTCATAGGTCTCTGACATTGAAAGGTAGCAAAACTGTGGGAATTGAAGATGATGATGATGATAGCAGACATCGCTTATTGAGTATCTTTGTGTCAGGACAATACCTGTGCTATTTCTATTATGGCTGTCGTTTAGCTTTGTTTGTAGCTATGATTCGCCTCATTTGCCTTATCCACAGCTGCATAGTATTTCATTGTATAGATATACCATTTGTATCCCCTATTCTAGTTTGTACTTTGCTTTCTTGTATTCCATTATTACAAACAATACTACAGTGACAGTTTTTGCCAAGCACCTTTGCACACTTGTATCCATTTATCTGTAGATAAATTATAATTCTTAGTGGAATGTTCATTTTTAAATTCCTATTGCTACTGTCAAATTACTGTTCAAAGAAAGATAACAACTTCTATGTCTACCAAGAAAGTGGGGAGTAAAATCTGAGTCTTTTGACAACAAGCTGGAGCTCTTTTCATGAAACATTAGGGTTGAATAAAAGAACGCCATGGATAGAGCACTGCCTGAGTGCAGAGACCTGGACATCATTTCACTCACATCCCGCTAGAGATATCATATATATGTGATCACACCTGAAAGCAGGGAAACTGGGAGATGTAATTCAGCTCATCTCTGTTCTCTAGAGTCTTGAACTACAGAGCGTGTGGTATGGCAGACTTTAGGAATTTCTGCCACTCATGGCAAGTTACTGATTTTTAGCCTGAGGTCAATGTAGGGTTGCAGAAGGGCCCACTTATACATTTGACACCTCCTCCTTGAAAAAGACCTCTGGCAGGCTGTCTTGCAGTGCACTTGAGCATCAGGGGAGAGTCAATGTGCCAGGGATTTTGCTGGGTGCTTCACCTGATTCCTTCCAAAGCATGAGCCTGCTCCCATTATTCCCAAATATATGCATGAGGCTTAAAGATATGGAGAGACTTTCCCAAGAACGAGGCTCTGAATGTTTTGCTCAGTGTGATTGTAAGCCTGCACCCTTCCTTTCCACAGCTCTGGCCATAGCTCTTGCTAGAGCTGCTGCATAACTCACCCTACCCCACCTCACCCCACTTAGACTCTGGTGGGCCAGATGAGCAGTACATGCAGTCACATGAACCTTGCCTAACTTGGAGATTTTTCTCACTTTCCAGGTTCTCTCTCAGTTCCTTTGCCTGCTGCCGTGGCCTTTGTGGTACCCTTCCCTAGTAGGTATCCCAGGGCTTCCCCCACCCATGCAGTTTATTACTGCTGAGGGCTCCAGAAGCCCTCTTTCTGGACTCTATATATCCCCTGCTTTCAAGTTCCAGCCTCGTTGTGAGACTGTGGACTGGAGACGCATTAGTGCTGTGGATGTGGACCGCGTGATACGGGACCTGGACTTGGCCACCTTGCAGGAAAACATTGCTGGTATCACCTTCTGCAACTTCGACCGGGAGGCATGCAGACGCTGTGGGCATCCTGTGGACCCAGCGCTACTCAAGGTGCTGCGCCTGGCACAGCTCATCATTGAGTATCTGGTGTACTGCCAGGAGTGCCTGAACACCAACATTACCAAGCTGGAGGCACAGCTGCAGGTCAGTGTGGGTCAGCAGGAGCGTGGCCAGAAGGAGCTGGACCGCCAGACTGATGAACTGAAGGGAATGCGGGAGGAGTGTCACCGACGCCACAAGATGATTAATACTTTACAGCAGATGCTCCTACAAACAGGCGCCCACAACTACCACATGGTGAGGAATCTCTGCAGGGTGGGGACAATGGGAGGGCTGTGCATCTAGCCACTGGGCCATGTGGACAGCACTACTGCCCTGGGCCCAAAGGTGGTTGCAGACTATTCTCACTGGTTAGGAGAAGATTTTAGAGATGCTTCTCATGGCCAGAGATGCTAAGAGCATCTAATCAGATGCTGCAGAATGTGTGTGTGGAGATTGTGCAAGTGTGGCAGGTGTGTGCATGAAGGATGTGTTTGCATGGAGGTGCTGCCTGAGTTCCATCTCGCAGGTCTACATTTGATTCAGCAGAAGGAGGGAGGATGAAGAATGTCATGGCTTTCTCTAATGAAACCTTCCAGAAGTTGCATGTACCACTTCTGCTTACATGTCATTGGCCAAAATTTAGTTGCATCGCCTCACTGGTTATAAGGGATACTGGGGCAAAATAGTGTTTATTCTCACTGGTCTCCAGGTCAGCAGAAGCATCAGGGTTTCTCTTATGAAAGAAAATAAATAAAATGGATTTTAGGGGGCAACTGACAATTTCTGTCATATTTGCTTCTGTGCAAAATAGTAAATAATCTGCCCTCTTACTCTAGTTGACTAGAAATAGCAGCTTGCAGAGCCGTGTTGGAAAAATTTTAAAGTTCTACAGTGCAAAGATGATGTGATAGATTGGCAGTGTCTGAAATGCCCAAGGAGAGGCAAGTGAGATTACAGAAGCTATTAGCTGTAATCCTCTGCTCCGGTGGTTCTCAACTCTGGGGTGGGACCTGGACATTGGTATTTAAAAAAAAAATAAGCTTTTAATTACTGGAATTTTCCAACATATAAAAAATGGAGTAATGCAATGAGCCTTCATCTGTACACTGTTTAGTCCAATAGTTATCAACTCATGGCCAGTGTTGTTTACTTTTCCCCCTACTTACATCCCTCACTTTTGGAGTATTTTGTAGCATACAAGTCATATGATTTTATCTGTAAATATTTCAGAATGTGTCTCTAGAAGGCAAGGACTCCCACTTTAAGACATAAACACAATATCATTAGCATACCTAAGGAACCAACAAAAATCCCTTGGGGTCATCAGATAGTGTTCACAGTTCTCCAAGAGCATTGGTTGTATTTAAAGCTCTCTAAGTGATTCTAACGTGCAGAATATTTTTTTTGGCCGGGGGGGAAGGAACAGGAGGGAAGGGTTTGAAGTCACTACCTTACTCAGTAAATCAAACCCTTCATTTCTGAACCAGTCTAGGGACCCCAAAGGAATGGGAGTTTTGATATAGGGATAATCCTAGGCTGACTCAGATGACCTAATCCTGCTCTTCCCACTACTTGCCTCTGTCTAGTGTCACCTGTGTGACAAGATATTCATGAATTCCACCTTTCTCTGGAACCATATCCAGCGCAGGCATGGGAACATGGCAGAAGCTGGTAAGTCTGGTTGGCATTCTGGGGCCCTCCTGGGATGGTAGAAGGACTTGGGCTGGTTCACTGGGTGGGGGGAGGAACACATACACCACCAAATCTAGCCTCAGAACCTTGTCATTTAGTTGAGGATGGGATGGTACCACCATCTACTATGGCAGTGGGGGGCATCTCATACAGGGCAGACGGGCTGATTGTAACACAGGTAGTTCCAATCTTAGCTTTGGTCTTTTCTATTGTGTGACCATGATCAGCACCTCCCACTGTCAGTCTTAGTGGACTTCGCTGTGAATGGAGTGGTAAGACTTAGTGGCCTTGAAGGACCCCCACCTCTCAGTCTTCTGCAAATGTACTGTTGTCTGATGTTAATTATGAGTGAGCTTCTGGAGGTTAATGAACAGTCAGATTGATTTTTTGGCTTTTTTATGTACATGTACTTATCATGGCTTAATCACTTTAATCTTATTGTTTCAACTTCCAAAATGAGTTGCAAGGGAACATGTTTTTCCCATAAAAGAGATCTGCATACTTTTAAGTACATTATTTTGAGGTTCACTAAGAAATAGCTGTTAAAACATAAAATAAAAATAAAAATTCCAATAGATGAAGATTAAAAAATTTCCTTCATTTTAACTTCCTTTTCAAAGAACAGACTGTTTCATTTATTTATTTAAAATTATTATTATAATTTTTTGAGGCAATATTGGTTTACAACACAGCGAATGTTTTAGCAACACAAGTTCACACTTTTTAAAGTAATTTTAAAACTTGGATTTTTTTTTATTTACAGATGTATTTTTTTTTTACATTGTTATTCTCTCAGGTGTAATCCCCATAGAATTCCCACCGCCAAGAGAACCATCACCATAGTCTCTTGTGCTCTTCACTCCCCTGTTCTGATCCCCTTCCCTCCCTCTCCCCTGCTGAATGTCTCTGATTTATCTTTTGCCTGCTAGTTTTGTTTTTCCTGATCCCTTGCTTTGTTCTCCTATAGTCTTACTGTAAGTGAAACTATCCAATATTTTCCTTTTTCCTTCTGATTCATTTCACTGAGCATAATCCCTTCCAGATCCATCCACATTGCTGCAAATGGCATGTGTTTCTTTTTTGACTGCTAAATAGTATTCCATTGGGGTCACACTTAAAATGCAAATGCCACACTACACCCATCATCAACCACCAGAGTACCAGTAGCCCTCTACCACAGTTCTTTGGACCCCTCCATCCTTTACTCCTACCCCACAGACTTAAGATTTTTAAAGCAGGGCCATTTACTTAGGTACTGTGCATTTACTATATTTTGACTTCTTCATCTTATATTGGAGGCTGCTAAAGAAAAACAAATTTTCCTACCTCTTAAATATTTTTTTCTGATAAAAATACACATCTTTAAAGAGATATTTCTATATCTATATTTATAGCAGCATTATTCATAGTAATTAAGGGGTGTGGAAGCAACCCAAGTGTCCTTTGACAGATGAATGGATATGAAAATACATCTATGAGGGAATATTTTGCAGCCTTAAAAAGGAAAAAAATTCTGACACACACTACAACATGGATGAACCTTAAGGATATTATGCTAAGTGAAATGTCAGTCATGAAAGGACAAATATTGTGTGATTTCACTTATCTGAGGTATTTAGAGTAGTCAGATTCATAGGAACAGAAAGTAGAACGGTGGTTCCAGGGTCTGGAGGTAGGAGGAATGGGGAGTTAATTATTTAATGGGTATAGAGTTTCTGTTTTATAAGATGAAAAGAGTTATAGAGGTAGTAGATGGCAGTGACTGTTGCACACCATTATATGAATATAATGTCACTAACTTGTACACTTAAAAATGGGTAAGATGGTAAATTTATGTTATATGTATTTTACCACAACAAAAAATTGGTGAAAAATGCCTTTGATATAGATAATTTAAAATCAGGAGGGTGGAAAAGAGAAAATAAAAACCATTGAGACTATCAATAGTAGTTCATATTTTGGTTAATTCCCTGTCATTATTCTGTGTACTTATGTAATCATATAGTATGCAGTTTTGACTACTGCTTATTTTCAATTTAGAGTAGATCACATTTTCCAATATCAATATCATCTTTGAAAACATGGTTTTTAATGACTGGGTAGTATTTCATCAGGTGGCTATCATAATTTATTTCACAATTGAATTATTTTATAATTTGTATGGGTTACTAAGAAGTATTCCTATTATAAACAGTTGATGATTAATATTCTTGTATGTAAATCTTTGTGCATATTCCTTGTTATCCCCTTAATGTAAAGTGTTGTAGGGAGAGGAAACATATTCTTAGGCAACCTTTGTCACTTTAATGGTCATGACCTTTTGTTCTCAGACACCCCAGCTCTCCTGTACCACATTCACCTTAAATCACTTTTCTACTGAATCTAAAAATCACTTGTTTCTAGAGGGCTCAATCTGACAAAACTCATTTCTCTTTAAAGAAAGACTTAGAGTTTTAAGAACAGTACCATCTACCCAATAATCACTTTTAAAAGGTAACCAATATTAAAGCATGATTGGTGATTTTTTCATTTACTCTTAACTTTTGCTTTATTAGTATGTAGTTTCAAATGTTCTTTTGTAATTCATTCCAAGTCTTTATTTTAACTTAAACAAATTTAAAGTATATGCTGAAAGCAACCTTGATTAAAACATGCATGTTGCCTTTTCTTTCTTGAAATTTAAAGTTATACATTTGTTATACTATATTATTGAAAAAAGTGATCCTAAAATTACAATTATTTACATTATAGTAAGTGCCTCTCAGATGCCAGGATATGTAGATATACTTTTTGTATTAGTGATCAGTGTGTACATACTACTTGGCATTTTGCTGTTATTCTAGTAATTTTGTATTCACTATGTCGGTGCTGTCAGCATAGTTATTTTAGGCAATAATTGTTCCCATTTATTAAGCTATTGTGCCAGCCCTGATGCTAAGCACTTTGCAATTTCATATTTTATTCTACAACAATCTTCTGAGTTATGTGTGATTATTAGCTCCATTAGGGAAACCGAGGGTCAAGGAGGTTTCTATCACTGGCTGAAGTGAATGTACAATGAAAGTGGCAAAGCTGGTCTCAGACTGTGGTGTGACTGCATCGGTGAGGAATTGTACTCCACTGATTTTAACTCAAATGAATCCCCCTCTCTTTACTTGGACTGAGCAGGAAAACTGAAGAAGCAGGGACATCCTTTGGAGGACCAGTTAGAAGAGTTGCGGACCAAGCTGAAATTGACCCAAGGGGAACTAGAGGCCCAGAAGGAAGCTGAGAGACGGCGGCAGTGCCAGGTGGACATGAAAAGGAAATGTCAGGAGGCTTTGGAGACCCATCATGTATCCCACAGGGCCAAAATTTCTAGTGGCTTCCCACAGCTGGGAGTCAGAGTTAGAGTGGCATCTTCTTGTGACAAATAATTTTAGGCAATCTGGAAAGGAAAATTCAATTATTTCGTCAAAAGAAGAGCAGAGACTTGTAATTTTCTGCATTATTCAGTACCCTCTGAGGGCATTTGAACCTGAATTTTAACTTCTTACACTACACTGTTAGCTTTTTGAGGAGAAAGATCGGGTCCTGAAAGCTCTAGATCCAGCCCAGAGGAGGTATTGAGCAAGCATTTGTAGAATAAATATACATAAACTTGTCTCGCTCATTCCTTCAGTTATTTATATTTATCATTTATTTCCTTAGCATGCATTTTTTAAGCATCAACTATGCAGGCATCCTGAGGAATATAAACATTACAATGATGTGAACCCTATTCTCAAGTGACTTTACAGTTCAGATAAGACTTGACCCCTTCCAAGTTCAAGTAATGGGGGCAATGCTCTTTGGATTTCCATAGTCACTTGCATGGATGAGGGGCCCTTGCAAGTTCTCAGTAAACATTTGCCTTAAGATGGAGTTAATAATTCTGTTGTTTTTGTTTTTATTTGCAGGAAGCAGAGTTTGTTCGTCAGAGGGAAAGAGAAGCTAGGGAAAGAGAAACTAGGAAAGAATTTGATGGGTGGATAGAAAAAGAGCGGGCCAACCTACATATGGAAATAGACAAGCTAAAAAAATTATTTTGGGATGAATTTAAAAATGTTGCCCACCATAATGCTACACTAGAACAGGTACCCAACTTAAAGGTTTTTCAAAGTTCTTCTGTTGAAAATCTGCTTGTTTTCAAACTCCTCTTCTTAGTTTGTTCTAGTTTTATGTTATCTACCATTGCAGACTAGTATACTGTCAGTTCAGATACCAAGGGCAGTGCCTGTGATTGAATCCCTGCTCTAGCATATGCTGGTTGTGTGACCAAGGACAGGCTGCTTACCCTTCCTTTGTGTCAGTTTCTTTTTGGTAAGACAGGTTGCTGAAATAGTTAAATTAGCACATACATGGCACTTAACATTATCTGGCATATCTTTACTTTTGCAAGGGGTTTTATCACTAAATAAGAAATGAATGCGTTTTTCTTCCAACAAAAATTTGCTGAGTACTGTCTAAATGCCAGGCTCTCTGTTGGGATCTATAGAGGTCAAACATAATAGCTTATATTTACAGATTATATTTACTAATTCTAGCCCCTGGACACAGTGCTTTAAATACACTACCTTTTAATCTTCCTAATAACCAAAACAACCATAACAGTCTCAACATAGGTACATCATTAATTTATTAATTTCTTTTTAAAAGTTCTTTTTTTTTTAAGTTTAACAAAACTTCACAGGTGAGGACATAGTAACTTGCCCACAGTCTCACACAGCTATTAAAAGGTAGAGCTGGGATTTGAAACTTCAAATTTCTCCTATTGGATATACTATCAAGTTTGTTCAGGAAAACCTTATTAAAACTCTCCCTGGACTGTATCTTCCCATATAAACCTGTATGACTGAAACTGTATCAGGGGGAAAGTTTTGAGGAGAAATAGTTTTAGAGTGTGTTTATCTCTTACTAATTATCTAATATCAAGGAGAATTTTGTTTTTGAAAATGAACTAATAATGTTTTTCACAATCACTTCTCACAAACACCTAGGTAGTTTTTCCAGAAGGAGGTTATCATAGGATATGCTTAGAGTGTTAGGTGACCTATCATCTCAATTGGAGATGGGAAACCAAGGGTGGAAGGTAGTGGAGTTGAAATGAGAGCTCTGTGTGTGTGTGTGTGTGTGTGTGTGTGTGTGTGTGTGCAACCATCCCTGCTTACATGCTCCCCCAGCGCTGTCAGGGATGGTTTGTAGAAGATATGATACTGTTCCACCGTATGGACCACATGCTCCTGAGCCCTGGCTCCCTGCCTATCATTCCCAGCTCACCTAAATCTCTCTTGACGCCATGCTTCCCCTGACATGGTGCTAGCTGATTAGATAGCCAATGAATAGCTAATGGTTTAAATTTGGAGTTCAGAAACCACCTCATCAATGGCCAAAGCATTACTCAGGGTTAGGATATTCTGAGTTTTGGTAATTCTTAACATTTAGTTTCCTTTTCATTTGGATCACGTTCTCCTAAGCTGGAACATCCAATTCTTTTTTTTTTTTTTAAGATTTATTTATTTATGCATACAAGAGCTGGGGTACAGGCCAGAGGTGCGGGAGGTGAGAGGGTTCACCAGAGACAGAGTGGTGAGTAGAACAGGCAGATTGACTGAAGTACACTGCTGAGGGGAGCAGTGGGCAAGACAGGAGAGGTCTGCTGCGCTATGTGGGTAGCTCCCTGGCCAGCTGGGGATCGAACTCATGCTGCAGAGTCTGTGGATAACTTCACAGTCTGTGCTGTGCTTAACTCCTTGTGCCACCAAGGAGGCCCCCAATTCTTTTTTTATGTAGGATTACTTATGTACTTGTACTGTGTTTTTATGTCACTCTGGGATTTTCTTGTCTGATATTTTATTATTTTGCTTTTATTAAAGCATAGAAACCAAACTGGGTATAAAATTCTTCATATGGTTGGATAATTATTTTGATAACTTTTTTAAATTCTGGGGGAGAAACAAATGAGATTCCATTTAGAGTCACTTTGAAAAACACTGTGTAAGACAATCACTTTTCAAAATACAAGGAAAGGTTCTCCTGAATTACAGGAGGGCCAATGAGAGCTAAATGTGTTTTGAAAATATTTCCTCAAAATTTTCCCCCTGATGCAGAAGTCTGAGAGCTCTGTTTGGCTGGGATACCTGATTGAAGAGAGAATTTTAGATTAGTTGTAGATAAATCCAGCTGCCCAAGGGAGTCTCTAGTTGAATGGAAAATGCCACGAAGGTTTGTAATACAGGAAAGCCAGCTATCTGATGTGTTATAAGCAGCACTGTGAAGACAGAAGTGGCACATCAGAAATCAGAGTTGTACAAACATCTGATAAAAAGCATTTGACTCTATGAAAATATTCAAAGAATTTAGAAATGGTTAACATTTAGATTCAATATTGCCTTAGCAGAAATTGAGAAGTTAAAGATTAGCAAAAATTTTCCAAGTTAAATTGGAAATTTAATAAATAAATTCAAAGCATTAATAGGGCTTATGAGTTTAATATAGTAATAGAGATGGAGAGATTTACTTTTGTTACTGCAATAGTGATATGTTTAGACATATGTCATTTTTTTTTTAAGATTTATTTATGTATACAAGAACTGGGGTAGAGGCCAGAGGCACAGGAGGGTGAGAGAATTCATCAGAGACAGAACAGGGAGCAGAACAGGCAGATGACTGAAAACACTGCTGAGGGGAGCAGCGGGCGAGACAGGAGAGGTCTGCTGCACCATGTGGGTATTTCCCTGGCTGGCCAGGAACCCGTACTGCAGAGGCTTTGGACAGCTTCACAGCGCTGCGCTCAACCTGCTGCACCAGCAGGGAGGCCCAAAATATATCATTCTTGTTCAAAAATATACCACAAGTGGGTGGAAAGGCATCTTCTCTTTGATCCAGTTATTTGTGCCTTTTACTTCAGAACACACACTGCCAGCTCAGGGATCTCTTGTAACATGGCTCTGAGCTGTGCAAAGCCAGCCCTTCCTGGGGACATCCGGTCTGTGTATGTGTGTGTTTGGAGGAGGGGTAGGAGTCCTCAGGGAATGGACCGAGGTGCCAGAAACCCTCACGACTGCCCTAAGAGTCTGATTCTAGGTATTCGAGACTGAGGAAGAAATGGGGCAGCTGCAGGGAGCTCCTTTTGGAGTACAGCAGACTTGCAGTGCAGTTGAAATTATACTCTTGGATTCTGTTCTTCCATTGGAACTTGTTTCCCTTCTGTAAGGGCTGAGCTCTTTCAGAAGAACACTTAGAGAAGGGGAACTGTGGACTTTTGTGAATATTCACAGATATCTGGATATCTAGTGGGGAGGAGCTTGGACTCTGTGGTGGGGTAAGGTGTACCCTTCTGACATTGCTCAAGGTATAAAAGAGAACTTCATGATTAGATTCTCATCTAATTAACCTCTGATCAGCCTTTTCAAAACCTGCAGGGACTTCAGACCCACAGCATGAGGGCTTCTAACCTTGGGTCACTTCAGGATGAGGAGCCTGTGGAACGTCGTGAGCTGGCTCAGATACTCCAACTCCTCACAGATAGGATGAAAATTCAGGTAAGCAATTGCCCTGTACCTTTCTTCCCAGAGCCATGTCGAGCAAGTTCCAACAAAATCTTTGCTCTGTGGTTTTAGGAAACTTGAAAGTCGTCAAACTTCTATATTTTCAGACCATCTGCCAATATGTGAGTGCAGAGAGTAGAGTTCTTAGGGTTCTCAGGTGAGGCTGGCGATAAGCATGCTTGTGATACCAGAGTTGCCTGGTATCTTTTCAAACTACATACAGCTGTGTCTTGTATTTGACACCTTTGTCCTCATTTTGATTCCACCCTGGTTGAAAACAGCTCTTAGAAAGTGCGGTGGTCTCTTGGATCTGAAACTATTTGGGGATGGATCTAGTGGTGGCAAATGTTTAGCAACCAGCTCTCTGGAACTAAAAAAGCTTTGATTTGTAGCATTCGCCATTTTGGGTGATGTGTATCTTCCCACCAGGACTGATTTCCTTCTAGAGGTGTGAAGCCCCTGAATGTGGAATTGGGAAGACGTGCACAGTTCACTAGAGAGCCAGTGGGAGGCAGCTTGGGACACTTTGGGGTGAATGGTGTAATTTATATGGTCTGAATAGTTGATAATTCTATGGTAAGAAAAGGAAATTGGCAGGGTCATTGAATCATGCTGTGTTACTGTTTCTGCTCTCCAAGATTGTTAAGAAAGAGCTAATGTGTAACTAGTAGTAAGCAATAAAGTATTTCTATTGCTTAATATTTCACATTAAAAAAGCCAGTCCTTTCTATGAAATCTGCTCATATCCTATGCCTGCTTTTCTTTTCTTTTTTTTTGTAATGATTAAACTTGTTTTTGTTTTTATTTTATTTTAATTTATTTATTTTTAAACAATATTTGCTTCCCCCACCCCCTCAGATTGAGTCCCCATAGAATTTCCTTCCCCAAGGCACCCATGTACCATCACCAAGTCCTCTGAGCTCCTCCCTCCCTCTTCCCCCTCCCTCCTCCCCTGCAGGAGGTCTCTGGTTTATAATTGTCTGTTTTTGCTTTGTTGTGTTTTGTGCTGTTGTTATTATTTTTTTTACACGGATGTCTTATTTGGTTCTCCTATATTCCTGTTATAAGTGAAACCATCTGATAGTTTTCTTTTTCCTTCTGGCTTATTTCACTGAGCATAATGCCTTCTAGCTCCATCCACATTACTGCAAATGGCATGAGTTATCTTTTTTGATTGCTGAATAATATTCCATTGTGTGTATATGTACCACATCTTCTAGATCCAGTCATCTATTTTTGGGCATTTGAGTTGTTTCCAGGTTTTACCTATTGTAAATAGTGCTGCAATAAACACAGGTGTACATGTGCTCTTTTGAATCAATGTTTTTGTGTCCTTTGGGTAGATCCCTAGTAGTGGAATTGCTGGATTGTATGGTAGCTCCATTTTTAGCAGGATGAGGAACCTCCAGACAGCTTTCCACAGTGGTTGGACCAGTTTGCACACCCACCAGCAATGAGGAGAGTTCCTTTTTCACCACATCCTTGCCAACATTTGTTGTTGCTTGTTTTTTGGATATGTGCCATTCTTACTGGTGTAAGAGGTGGTATCTCAGTGTGGTTTTCATTTGCATTTCCCTGATGATAAGGGATGTTGAACATTTTTTCATATGCCTGTTGGCCATTTGCATTTCCTCTTTGGAGAAATGTCTTTTGAGTTCTTCTGCCCATTTCTTGACTGGATTGTTTATTTTGTTTTTGTTGAGCCATGTAAGTTCTTTGTATATCTTTGTGATCAGTCCCTTGTCAGTTGACTGGAGTGCAAAGATTTTTTTCCAATCAGTGGTGTGTCTCTCTGTTTTGGTTAATGTCTCTTTGGCTGTGCAGAAGCTTTTCAGTTTGATGTAATCCCAGGTGTTTATCTTTGCCTTCACTATCACTGCTTTGGGTGATGAGTCTTTAAAGATGTTATTGCAATGTATGTCTTGTAGTGTTTTCCCTATATTTTCTTCTATATATTTTATGGTTTCAGGTCTTACGTCCAGTTCATTTATCCATTTTGAGTTGATTTTTGTGTACGGTAAGAGGTAGTGGTCTAGTTTCATTTTCTTGCATGTGGAGGTCCAGTTTTCCCAGCACCATTAATTGAACAAACTGTCCGTGTTCCATTGCTATGCTTGCTTTTCTATTGATATCCTTACCAACTTGTGAGCTTGTAAAATACATGTAAACGAACCCTATCTTTTATTGTGGCTATTTTCCCTGGCTTTATTTATTTTTTAAAGATTTATTTATTTATGCATACAAGAACTGGGGTACAGGCCAGAGGTGTGGAGGGTGAGAGGATTCACCAGAGACAGAGTGGGGAGCAGAACAGGCAGACTGACTGAAATACACTGCTGAGGGGAGCAGCAGGTGAGATAGCAGAGGTCTGCTGCACCATGAGGGTTAGCTCCCTGGCCAGCCAGGGATTGAACTCGTGCTGCAGAGTCTGCAGATAGCTTCACAGCACTGTGCTTAACCCCTTGCACCACCAGGGAGGCCCTATTTCCCCTGAATTTTTATTAGGCTTTCAACTTTATCATAGTTTTGGCCATATAAACATCAACTCTATTTATGTGGTCCAAATGATCAAATTATCAATCTTTTGTTAATGGTCACTAAAATTTATTTGCCTTTTAAAAGAAAACTTCACTTTTGATACATTCAGATTTAAAAAGAAAACATTTATTGTTTTGGCACTTTCATGGCATGATTAATCCATACATACCACCTTATTGAGGTATGATTGACATGTGAAAAATTACATATACTTGTGTACCACTCAATGAGTTTGGGGATAAGTGTATCCCCATGAAACTGTCCCCACCATGGCTATACATGTATCTAACACATTCCAAAGTTTCTTTCTATTCTCTTTATTATTAATATTATTTTCTTTGTGTGTTATATATAACACCTATATAAGATCTACTTTCTTAGAAAACTATAAGTAAACAATACACACATATATCTATATATCATGTATAATTTTGTACCCTTTTATCATCACCTCTCCATTTTCTCCTTCCCCTAGCCCCTGGGTATCACCATTTTACTCTGTTTCTGGGAGTTTGACTATTTTACATTCCACATATAAGTGAGACATCATAAGGTGTCTTTCTGTGTTTGACTCATTTCACTTAGCATAGAGTCTTCTAGGTCCATACATGTTGATGTAAATGGTAGGATTTCCCTCTTTTTAAAGACTGAATACTATTCCAGTGTATGTATATACCATGCTTTCTTTATTTGTTTACCTGTTGATGGACTGGTAGTGTTATTGTTACTGTTATGGTGAATAGCTCCAATGGGCATGAAGGTGCAGATACCACTTTGAGATTTTCAGATTCTTTTGGATTAGTACCAAGAAGCAGGATTGTTAGAATACACAGTATTTACAGAATACACAGTATTTATAGAATACACAATATTTCTATTTAAAAATTGTTTGACAAGAGTAAGTCAAGTTTATTAACATGTATACCTGGGAAGTACCCAGGAAAAATGAGTAACTCACTCTGTTTCTAATTTTTTGAGGAGCTTCCATTCTGTTTCCATAGTGGGATACCAATTTATATTCCCAAGAATATACAAGGTTTCCTTTAATCCATTTTGAGTTGATTTTTGTGCGTGGTGTAAAGATAATAAACAATTTCATTATTTTGCCTGCAGACATCCATTTCTCCCCACACTATTTATTGGAGAGACCATAGACTGTTCTTTTCCTTTTTTATATTCTTGAAGATTAGTTGACTGTGTGTTTGGGTTTATTTCTGGATTTTGGGTTTAATTCTGGCTTCATATTGTTCCATTGGTCTGTATGTCTATTCACATGCTAGTACCATACCGTTTTGATTTTATGACATTGTAATTTAAAACCAGGAAGTGCTGCCTCCGTGTTTTGGTTTCTTGCTCAAGATTACTTTGGCTATTGGGGTGTTTGTGGTTCCATGTGAATTTTAGGATTTTTTTTCAATTTCTGTGAAAAATGCCATTGGAATTCTGATAGTGATTGCATCTGTAGATTGCTTTGGGCAGTTTGAACATTTTAAATAATTTTCTTCAAATTCATGAGCACTAAATCTTCCCACTTATTTGTGTTGTCTGTAATTTCTTTCACAAATGTTTTATAGGCTTTATTGTACAGATTTTTTACCTCCTTGGTTAAATTTATTTTACTTGTGAAGCTATTATAAATGGGAGTTTTTTTTAATATTACTTTTTCTTGGGTAATTTGTTGTTAATGTATAGAAATACAACTGGTTTTTCACTATGTGACATGCACCTCAAAGACATCTTTACAGACACATCACCCAAAGCAGTTATAGTGAAGGCAAAGATAAACAGCTGGGACTACATCAAATTAAAGAGCTTCTGCACAGCAAAAGAGACAATAACCAAAACAAAGAGAAACCCCACCGACTGGGAGATAATTTTTGCACCCAAAACTAATGATAAAGGACTGATCACAAGAATCTACAAAGAGCTGATGAGACTCAACAACAACAAAGAAAATAATCCAGTCAAAAAATGGGCAGAAGAGCAAAAAGAAACTTCTCCGAAGAGGAAATACAAATGGCCAACAAGCATATGAAAAAATCTTCAACATCACTTGCAGTCAGGGAAATGCAAATCAAAACTACAATGAGATACCATCTCACACCAGTGAGAATGGCACATATTAAAAAAACTAGCATCAACAAATGTTGGTGAGGATGTGGAGAAAAAGGAATTCTCCTGCACTGCTGGTGGGAGTGCAAATTGGTCCAACCATTATGGAGAGCTGTATGGAGATTTCTTGACCTACTAAACATAGAGCTTCCATATGATCCAGCAATTCCACTCCTAGGTATTTACCCAAAGGACACAGAAACATCAATTCCAAAGAGCACCTGCACCCCTATGTTTGTAGCAGCACTATTTACAATAGCTAAGCTTTGGAAACAACCCAAATGCCCAAAAATAGATGACTGGATCAAGAAGATGTGGTACATATACACCATGGAATATTACTCAGCAATCAAAAAAGATAAACACATGCAATTTGCAGGAACATGGATGGCGCTGGAAGGGATCATGCTCAGCGAAATAAGCCAGAAAGAAAAAGAAAAATACCGGATGGTCTCACTCATAGCAGGAATCCAGAAAACCTAAATAAGGGACCAGGAAAAAGAATAACTATAAGAAAGAAAAAAATCAAAATCAACAAACAACTATGAACCAGAGACACACTATGGGGGGTGGGGGGCAGGGAAAGGAGCAATTGGGGTCAAAATAAGGGGGTTGCAATTGTATGGGGAATATAAAAATAAAAAAAATAAATTCAATGTAAAAATAAAAAAAGAAATACAACTGTTTTTTGCATGCTGATTTTGTATTTTGCCACTATGAATTGTTTATTAGTTTTAACAGGTGTGTGTGTGTATGTGTGTGTGTAGTCTGTATAGAAGATTATGTTATCTGCAGGCAGAGACATCTTTACTTCTTCCTTTCAAAAGCCAATTTGGATTCATTTTATTTCTTTTACTTGCTGGATCGCTCTGGCTACATCTTCTAGTACTAAGTTGAATAGAAATAATAAGAGTGGGCATCCTTGTCTTGTTCCTGAGCTTAGAGGAAAATCGTTCAGCTTTTCACTATTGAGTATGATGTTAGCTGTAGTTTTGTCATATTTGAATTTTATTGTGTTGAGGTACATTTCTTCTATACCTTGTTAGTTGATAGTTTTTTGTGTAACATTAAAGAATGTTGAATTTTGTCAAATGCCTTTTTCTATGTCTGTTGATATGATCATATGATTTTGTCCTTCATTCTATTAATGTGGTGTATCACATTGATTTGTATTATGTTGCATCCTAGGGATACATGGCAGGGATAAAGTCTACCTAGTAAAGGTATATGATTCTTTTAATGTGCTGTAGAATTTTGTTGGCTTGCATTTTGTTGTGGATTTTTGTATCTATGTTCACTAGGGATTCTGGCCTATAATCTTTTTTTCTTGTGGTGTTCTTGCTTGCATTTGATAAGAGGAATTCTGGCCTCATGAGATGAGCTTAGAAGTATTCCTTCCTATTCAATGTCTGGGAAGAATTTGAGAATACTTGGCATTAATTTTTTTAATATTTGGTAGAGAGCTTTCTTTGTTGGGAGATTTTTGATTACTGGTTCAAACTATGTACTCATTACTCTTCTGTTCACATGTTTTTATTACTTTGTGATTCAGTCTTGGTAGGTTATATGTTTCTAGGAATTATCAACTTCTAGATTATTCAATTTGTTGGTGTGTAATTTTCATAAAAAGTTGTGATCCTTTGCATTCTGTGGTATCAATTGTAATGTCTCCTTTTTAATTTCTGGTTGTTTATTTGCAACTTCTTTTTCTTTTTTTAAAGATTTATTTATTTATGCATACAAGAACTGGGGTACAGGCCAGAGGTGTCGGGGGTGAGAGGATTCACCAGAGACAGAGTGGGGAACAGAACAGGTATATCGACCTAAGTACACTGCTGAGGGGAGCAGTGGGCGGCAGGAGAGGTCTGCGCGCCATGTGGGACCCTCCTCTGGTGGCCGGGGAGCAGCCAGGGATCGAACCAGCGCTGCAGAGGCTGCGGGCAGCTTCACAACCCAGTGCTCAACCGCTGCGCCACCGGGGAGGCCCGATAATTGATTTTTGGTGCCTTGTAGTTGCTTTGTTCTTTGCTCCGTCTGTCTTCCTTTGTGATTTGATTTTTTGTTTGTTTGTTTTGGTAATGGTAGGCTTTGGTTTCTTTCTTTTTCTCTTTTGCCTATTTGCTATAGGTTTTTTCTTTGTGATTAGTATAAGGTTTATATAAACTATCTTTCATTTATAGTTATAGTAGCCTATTTAAAGCTAATAACAATTTAATTTTTATTGCGTACAAATACTCTACACCTTTACTTCACATTCACTACCTCCTGGTCTCCATAAACCAACCAGTAGGGTCTGTGGCCAGTTTTTGAAAGCCATGTGCAAGTGCTACAAGTTCTCTTCTTTTACTGTGTCCTAGTGGCCTTCAGATGATTTAGCTATGCTGATTTCTTCAGTTCTGGGTGGGGTGAGACAGAACTGGGCTTTCTGGGCACCATCCCCCAAGGCCGGGGCATTTGGGTTCAGTTGTTTTCACTTTCCCCAATGGGAGAAGTTTTAGGCCTAAGGGGTTTCTCTTTGTATTGAACTGTGCAGCTTTGGGAGAATGGTAATGTAGGAAAATTGTAACTATTGTCCTTGTCACCTTCAATGTGTTGGATTTTTTTGCCTCACTGAGAACCTCTCATCTGGATTCCTGGGATCCCATAAAAGTATTCTCATTGAAGGGTGGTTTGAGAGCAGTAACCTCCTATTCTGCATTTTATTTTAATCACTTAAGTGTTTTTATGTTTAAAACTTTGACCCATCTAGAATGTATTTTGGTTTAGGCTATGTAATAAGGATCAAAATTCATATTTTTTTCCAGTCAGCTAGCTACTTGTTTGAACACTGTACGTCAATAATCCACCTTCCTCCAGACTAAAATTCCAACTATCCCTTCCTCTCCTCTCTCACACACACCTTTGGGCTTTCTTTTATTGTCACTGTTTTGTCTGCCTAATCATGAATCACTATTTTGTAATTCTGGTAGATTTATAATATATTTATTATCTAAAGTGGCTCACTTGATAAACTTTTAATTATTTTTCAGGAAACAGAGTGGACCAGAAAAACGAAAGAACTGCAGGAGAAATATGCAGCTCAGAAGAGAGAGGTAGCTCTCCTTGGGTGGTCTGGCAGGGACCTGGTTTTCCAGAACTTCCTCTCATCCTTCAGCACACCCATCCTTTACTTCGCACCTAAACTGACTGGCTTCCTGATTGGCAGATATTTTGATGTTAATGTTGTTTCAGCCTGCTGACCCTATCACTATACAGAAAGGATCAGCTGCCTGGAGAATAGTTTGTCTGGAACAGGAACAGGAACAGGGACCTCTAGGATTCTCTTCTGAACCCAACACATCATTTGCTCTGTGGTCCCCTCAGCAGTGATCACTTTCAGCCAGTTTATACATTTTCAGGCAGTGTGTAAACCTGAGATGAATTGTCTGTTGATTTCATGTTTAGGCCTTTCTCTAAAACCCCATCCAGGAGAGAACCAGGTGATTGTGGACCTCAGTGATAGTTCAAGGGGCTTAGAAAGCACTAGACTTCAGGGTAGAGAAAATAACTTCTATAAAATGCACTTGAAGAGGAAGCAAGTTGAGGAGGAAGGTTATTAACCAGAATCCTAAGTTCTGCCCACTAGCTTCAGGATGAGAAAGAGAGGCTGCAGGAGGAGAAAGAAGGGCTGCAGAAAGCTCAAAAGATGAAAGTGCTTATGGCAGAGTGTATAAGCACTCACCCCAGTAATTCCCATAGGATGGTATTATTTTACCTGAAATATTTTAAAGCAGGAAATACATTCAGATTCACTACAGAAGTAGGAAAAATATAATTAAGATGCCCTGAGTAAAGTCTTACTACCACTCTATCTTCATATATTTGTCCTAACACCCACTCTACAGGTGACCACTTTCATTGCTTTGTTAGATATTTTTCTAGAGTTTCTTTGTATAAATATAGTCTTATTTTCTCTTTGCTCTTACACTAGAGCTAACCTGTTACTATATTTTTTTCATCTCTTGTTTTTACCTAAAAATATCCATCTGATGATTTTTGAATGGTGTCAGCTTACCTCACTGTCCTTCAGTGGGTGGTCCCCACTTGACAGAGAGCCCTTCAGTCCTCATCTTAAGGGGCTGCAATAGCTCCTTGGGCACAGCTTAAATACATCCCCAACTTGGAAAATAGCCAGTCTGGTTTGAAAGCCACCTTCCCAGGTCTGGAAACCCTCTATCCTGCTTCAGGTGAAATGTGGACCATTTTTCCTGCACCTTTAGAGGTCACTTAGACATTTGACTGACTAAAACTCCTATGCCCACCAGCTTCAGGAGGAGAAAGAGAGGCTACATGAGGAGAAAGAAAGGCTGCAGGAGGAGAAAGAAAGCCTGTATGAGGAGAAAGAGAGGCTGACGGACACCCTAACTCAGGATAAGAGGAAAGATATTGCTGAGTTCCAGCACCAGATCAAAGTCCTTCATGCCAAGCTCAAGGAACAAAACAAGGTCATCATCTCCCAGGAGGAGCAGGTAGGTCTGCCCTCCTCCCAGCCATGCCGGTGTCACTAGGCTCCTTTTCTCTAAGAATCTCTTTAGGTTCTTCTTGGCTTATTAGCACCAATATGGTTACTCAGGTCCTTTATGGAGAGAGAGGAGTCCTCACTCTTGATGGGCACACACAGGTGAGGATGCAGCCTCCCTCCAGCTGAAGATGTGCCCATGTTAGGCCCATGTTAGTGGGCTCATGCTAACATCAGAGACCATGTTAAATGCTGGCATCTGGTTGCTACTGTGCTTATTCCTTCATTTCAACAACATCTGCCATTCAAGGTAGACGTTACTTTCTCCACATCTCCATTTGACAGGTGATGAAATAGGCTGGAGAAGTTCCTCATGTAAGTTCACACTGGACACTCTAGGCAGGCAGGGGTGAGAGTCACTTTTAGGCAGGCAGGGGTGAGAGTCACTTTTAGGCAGGCAGGGGGAATGCAAAGCTTTGCTCTTTCCCTATCTTCTCAGATGTGCTTTCTTACCCAATGTCTTCATGAATCACAGCCTCTGAGAGGCTGTCAGATAAGCTAGTGTGATGAAAAGGCGCTTACTCTGGAAGTACCCCTCTCCCAGAACTGGTTTCTGACTTTATGCTGCTGAGTCTTTGCCCACCCTGCACTCAGCTACCCCTTCTGGTTCCCAGGTCTACGGAGAAGTGTATCTTTTCCTGAGCTGGGCCCTTCTGGTGGCTGCAGGTCCTTGCCCCAGTTCTGACACCATCCACCTCTTGGGCCAGCCTCCATGCAGCTTCCCTGGATTGATTTCACACAGTCACCTTCTCGTGTGCTCTTCCTGTATTCCTTGGGATTTGTGCTTTCCTGTTCTCCCATCCAGAATTCACCCAGTCTACATATCTAACTCCCTCCCCTGCTACTTCTCACTGTTCTCTCCCTCCCCCTGCTACCCTGTGCTTCACTGCTGTGCTACCCCAGGTCCAGCGTGGAGGGTTTCTCCTTGTCTACCCTAGAGCTGTTGTTTGCTAATGTTTCCATTAGGAACCCACTGGCCAAATGTAACAGAATAGGCTAATAGTGTTTATTTTTGTTGTAACACCAAAATAGGTGAAGGCACAGTCATGCCAGTGGAAATCCAGCCTCTCTTTATCTTTTCAGCTTCTTTAATGTGCTTACTTTATTTCTCATGCTTGACTCTTACCATAGCCCCAAACATCATAACCACATTCAGTGGAAGAAGTTGATGAAAAGGTTCCTTCCCAAGACTTATGCTTATATTTTACTGACCGAAGCTTTGTCATGTAGGCAGCACAGCTACAGGAAGAGTAGAAAGTGAATAATTAGTTGTACATGATCTAGAACAGAGTTGGGCAATGAAGGAAGCACTTGCAAATGGATGTTGGATTCATCAGTAGGTAATAAAATCTCAAGCTGAAGCAGGATAGGGACTTTATCATAAGGAGGGCAGAACTGGGGTCATACAGAGTCTGTTCAGGGAAGCAGCTGGATCTGGGACTAAATTGGAAACAGACATGAATGTGATGGGGAATTTTCTGTTGTGTGAGTCTCTTCCTCCTCTATATCTGCCTCAATTCATTTTTTTTTTTCCTCTGAGATTCAGCTTCCATTCCACATCTATTGCACATGCAAAGCAAGCTAAGAAACAATGAAAACCAAAACCAAAACCAGCTGGCTGCCCATAGCTCTTGACCTCACATGTTACTGCCTGAAATTCTCTGCCCAAGCCTGGACAGTCAGTGATGGCTGTGCTGTGGGATCATGTTGTCACACGTGGCAACTGTGTGGAAGCAGGAAGAAGAGGGACTTCCTGGAAAAGAGGGGTTGGGCAGACAGTTCAGTGAATGTTCTCATCATGCCTCCTTCTTCCCAGGGGACACTCAGCTCAGATGCCCACACTGCAGGAGGGGACCCCACCTGCCCTGGCTGTTTTCCACCATTATGTCAATAGCATGACTGTGTGTGTCTCACTCTGTTTCCACAGGGGTCTTGCCCTTCAAACCACAGTCCCTCTCTGAAGAGGGGCCATTCTTGTCTACCCGCTGTGGGAAAATAGAATATGGTACCAACTGCTATTCAATCCTTTCTCTCTTATGGACAAGGGGAGGTGTGTTGGGGGTTTAGGGCAGTGACTCTGACTCCTCCCAGTTCCCAGCGGATGGCATAGAAAGTGGCTGTCACTTCATCATGGTGCTAGGCAGACCCATCGCTCAGAGTTCCCTGCTTTAACTTTCTTTGTTCCACATCTTTGCAGATCCAGACCATATTCCTCAGGAAAATAGAAGGTAAGTTTGAGAGGGGGTGGTTTGCAGCAACCTAGCCAGTCACTTAGGGCTCTTCTCTCCTGTCCTCCTCCAGGTGGTTTATAGGATGAGGATGGGCAACGGCAGTCATAGTGATAGGGGGAAAGGATGTCCTGAGCAAACTCCATGCACGTTTTGTGGCCTCCACCCCCACGACACTGGGAACTACAAATCCCATGATCACCAAAGGGAAGATTGCGAGGACCTTAGGGCGGAGTTAAACAACTAGGCTCTCGGTTTGGGTATTTTAACTGGCCCTGTGGCTGGGGGTCACCCCTTTTTGGCCATGAGGCGTGCTAGGTTTTTGACAGCTCAGCAGGTCATTGGGATTCCAGGTCAGCGGAATGGGTAGGACACATTGACAAACTTATATCCCTCTTTTTCTCCCTGAGTTATTCATTTCCCCAGTTCCCCTTCCCTTATAAATAAACCATTTATCTGAAGTTTAGCATTAATAAGTCCTTTTAAGTGCGTGGGTGAGGACCCACAGTCGGGCAACTCCATTTTATATCGGAGTTTGCCCTGTAACAATAGGACATGTGGTATCAGGCACTTGAGGTGAGAGCAGGCGTTTGCTTCTGGGACAGAAGGGCTCCAGACCATTGTTTGTGCTAAAAGCATTCTATACAGCTGGCAGGTTTTCTTGCCTGGCCTGCTCTTTGTAAGATGGGAGAGACTGTGCGGGAAGGATGAGTATCTTGTGGGTAGTGATTAATGGAGAAGGTTCACGATTAGGCTCTTTTTAATTTACCTTGCCTATGGTTTTGACTTCATGGTTGCCATAACTTTTAACTTGTTCTCAGAATGTTACAAGTTGACCCAAAATTTATGTGAATGTGGCTTTTGGAGTTTGGAATGTCTGCTGTCTTCCTTTTGGGTATTCTGGTATGCTGGTGTGTGTGCATGTGTGTGATAGGTTAGAGGTGCTGACATCTAAAGGCACCCAGTAACCTATGGGGGACTGTTTCTGCTGCGAGGACTTTGGCCAGCCCCATAGAAAATATGGTCTTTGCTACTCTACCCACCCTCCCTTTCCTGGCCTTTTAGCTGCCCTTCTGCCTTCCTTGCAAACCCACACGTCTTCTCCTATCCCTTGCCTTGGGATATTTCTTTCCCAATCTTGCACTAGCTCAGATGCTCTGTCCCTGTGGCCCTGAGCTTCCCAGCAATGGGGCTGTGACAGCGCCATCAGGAACGACTTTCTGCTATGTGTTTTGCCAAGCACTCCCCATTCATTGACTCATTACATTGTCCCTATGGTTTCAGGTGAGGTGGTGTGGTAGTATTAGCCTCCCTTTCTAGATGAGAAGAGAATTAGAGCAGCTCAAGAGCTTGCTTCCTGCACAACTGGTGAGGGGCAGAGCAGGAATGTCAACTCTCCTCTTTGGCCTCTAGTGTGTGAGGCTCCATCCTCTTCCTGTAATGGGTTGGAGGGCTTGCCCTTTCTGACTGGTGCTCACATGGTGCCTCACATTTCTCTTTAATCAGGGATAGGGGCCAGTGTTTTGGAGCCACTAACTGTTCCTCCTCTCCCCAGCATTGCAACAGGGCGCGCAGGCTGTGCACACACAGAAGGACTCTTCAGAGAAAGGTGGGACCTCATTTTCTTTTCCATCGTCAGAGGAAGGTGGGTGTCAAATGCATTGCTGCCCTGTGACCACTGCTCCATTCTCTTCTTCCTATAATGGGTTGAAGGGCTTGCCTTTTCTGACTGGTGGTCACATGGTGCCTCACACTTTAAGTCAGGGTTGGGGGCCAGGGTTTTGTTTTGTTTTTATTTTTTCATATATATATTTTTAATCCTTTATTTTTTTTATTTTAACATTTATCATTCAAAAAAATTTTTTAGACAATATTTGTTTCCCCCACCCCCTCAGATTGAGTCCCCATAGAATTTCCTTCCCCAAGGCACCCATGTACCATCACCACAGTACCTTGTGCTCCTCCATCCCTCTCTCCCTCCCACGCTTCTCCCTGCTTCTCCCCTGCAGTATGTCTATGGTTTATAATTGTCTGTTTTTGCTTTGTTGTGTTTTGTGCTGTTGTTATTATTTTTTTTTACACTGATGTCTTATTTGGTTCCCCTATATTCCTGTTGTAAGTGAAACCATCTGGTATTTTCTTTTTCCTTCTGGCTTATTTCACTGAGCATAATTTCTTCTAGCTCCATCCACATTACTGCAAATGGCATGACTTTATCTTTTTTGATTGCTGAATAATATTCCATGGTGTATATGTACCACATCTTCTCGATCCAGTCATCTATTTTTGGGCATTTGGGTTGTTTCCAGGTTTTACCTATTGTAAATAGTGCTGCAATAAACACAGGTGTACATGTGCTCTTTTGAATCAATGTTTTTGTGTCCTTTGAGTAGATCCCAGTAGTGGAATTGCCGGATTGTATGGTAGCTCCATTTTTAGTAGACTGAGGAACCTCCAGACAGCTTTCCACAGTGGTTGGACCAGTTTGCACACCCACCAGCAATGTAGGAGAGTTCCTTTTTCACCACATCCTTGCCAACATTTGTTGTTGCTTGTTTTTTGGATATGTGCCATTCTTACTGGTGTAAGGTGGTATCTCAGTGTGGTTTTCATTTGCATTTCCCTGATGATAAGGCCTGTTGGCCATTTGCATTTCCTCTTTGGAGAAATGTCTTTTGAGTTCTTCTGCCCATTTCTTGACTGGATTGTTTATTTTGCTTTTGTTGAGCCGTGTAAGTTCTTTGTATATCTTTGTGATCAGTCCCTTATCAGTTGAATGGAGTGCAAAGATTTTTTCCCAATCAGTGGTGTGTCTCTCTGTTTTGGTTAATGTCTCTTTGGCTGTGCAGAAGCTTTTCAGTTTGATGTAATCCCAGGTGTTTATCTTTGCCTTCACTATCACTGCTTTGGGTGATGAGTCTTTAAAGATGTTATTGCAATATATGTCTTGTAGTGTTTTCCCTATATTTTCTTCTATATATTTTATGGTTTCAGGTCTTACGTCCAGTTCATTTATCCATTTTGAGTTGGTTTTTGTGTATGGTGAGAGGTAGTGGTCTAGTTTCTAGTTTTCATTTTCTTTGCATGTGGAGGTCCAGTTTTCCCAGCACCATTAATTGAACAAACTGTCCATGTTCCATTGCATATTCTTTGCTCCTTAGTCAAAGATTAGTTGTTCATATAAGTGTGGCTTTATTTCTGGGCTCTCTATTCAGTTCCATTGGTCTGTGTGTCTGTTTTTGTTCCAATACCAAACTGTTTTAATTATTATGGCTTTGTAATATAGCTTGAAGTTTGGAAGTGTGATACCTCCTTTCTCCTTTGTTTTCATCAGTAGGGTTTTGGCTATTCATGGTTTTTTGTGGTCCCATATGAATTTCATCAGTATTTGTTCTATTTCTTTGAAGAATGTCATTGGGATTTTTATTGGAATAGCATTGAATCTGTGTATTGCTTTTGGAAGGATGGCCATTTTAATAATGCTGATTCTTCCAATCCATGAACAGGGGATGTTTTGCCATTTCTTTGTGTCTTTTTAAATTTTTTTTAACAGTGTTTTATAATTTTCTTTGTATAGGTCTTTCACTTCTTTTGTTAGGTTTATTCCCAAGTATTTGATTTCTTTGGTTTCAATTATAAAAGGGATGGTTTTCTTGATTTTGTCTTCTTCTGATTGATTGATTGTGTATAGGAAGGCTACTGATTTTAGTGTGTTGATTTTGTATCCTGCTACTATACTGAGCTGGTTGATTATTTTGAGTAGTTTTTCTGTGGAGTTTTTAGAGTTCTTGATGTATATTATCATATCATCTGCAAATAATGATAATTTTACTTCTTCTTTCCCTTTTGGATACCTGGTATGTCTTTCTTTTGTCTTACTGCCCTGGCTAGGACCTCCAGTATTATATTGAAGAAGAGTAGTGAGAGAGGACAACCTTGTCTTGTTCCTGATCTTAAAGTAAAGGCCTTCAGCTTTTCGCCATTGATAATAATGTTGGCAGTGGGTTTGTCGTATATGGCTTTTATCATTTTAAAAACGTTCCTTCTATCCCGAGAATTTCAAGGGTCTTCATCATAAATGGATGTTGGACTTTGTCGAATGCTTTCTCAGCATCTGTTGAGATCATGTGGTTTTTATTTTTCTTTTTGTTGATGTGTTGGATTGCACTTATCAATTTTCGTATGTTGAACCATCCTTGTGCCCCTGCGATGAATCCCACTTGATCGTGGTGTACTATCCCTTTAATGCATTGTTGGATTCTGTTGGCAAGGATTTTGTTGAGGATTTTTGCATCAGTGTTCATTAGGGAGATTGGTCTGTAATTTTCTTTTTTTGTGCTGTCTTTGTTTGGTTTTGGTATTAGTGTTATGTTGGCTTTGTAGAGTGTATTTGGTAGTATTCCTTCTTTTTTAATTTTTTGAAAAAGTTTGTGTAAGATAGGCACTAATTCACTGCTGAACATTTGGTAGAATTCATTTGTGAAGCTGTTTAGTCCTGGGCTTTTGTTTTTGAAGAGTGCTTTGATTACTGCCTCAATTTCGCTGCTTGTAATTGGTCTGTTTAGTAGTTCTATTTCTTCTTTGTCCGGCTTTGGATGATTATATCGTTCTAGGAATTTGTCCATCTCTTCTAGGTTGTTGAATTTGTTTGCATATAAGTGTTCATAGTAATCTCTGATTATTCTTTTGATTTCTACTGAGTCTGTTGTGATTTCTCCTCTTTCATTTGTAATCCTATCTATGTGTTTTCTCCCATTTTTTCTTTGTGAGACTGGCTAGAGGTTTGTCTATTTTGTTTATTTTTTCAAAGAACCAACTTTTGGTTTCAATGATCTTTTGGATTTTTTTTTAAATTTCCAATTCATTTATTTTTGCTTTAATTTTTATTATTTCTTTTCTTCTACTGGCTTTAGGGTTTTTTTTGTTGTTCTTTTTCTAGCTCTTTGAGATCTGAAATTAGGTTGTTTCTTTGAGTTCTTTCCTGTTTGTTGGTGTGAGCCTGTATTGCTATATATTTTCCTCTTATTGGTTTTGCTTTTGCTGCATCCCATACATTCTGGAAAGTAGTGTCCTCCTTTCAACTCCAAGTATTTTTTAATTTCTTCTTTGATCTCCTCATTAGTCCAGTGGTCTTCGAGTAGTGTGGATTTCAATCTCCATGAAGTGGGAGGGGTCCTTGTTTTCTTTTCATGATTTATTTCTAGCTTGATGCCTTTATGATTAGAGAAGATAGTTGGAATGGATTTTGATCTTCATGTATCTGTTGATGTTTGTCTTGTGGCCTAGTATGTGGTCGATTCTGGAGAATGATCATGTGCACTTGAGAAAAATGTGTACTTGGATTTTTTTGGGTGCAGTGTCCTATAGATGTCTGTTAAGACCATGAGTTCTATGTCTTTATTTAGGGCTCTAGTGTCTTTGTTTATTTTTTGTCTCGTTGATCTGTCCATTGGCGAGAGTGGGGTGTTGATGTCTCCCATTATATATGTATTTTCTTTAATGTCAATTTTCAGAGCTGATAATAATTGTCTAATATATTTTGGTGCCCCTTCATTTGGTGAGTATATGTTGATTAGTGTTATATCTTCCTGATGTATTGTCCCCTCGATCATAATGTAGTGTCCATCTATGTCTCTTTTTACCTTTTTTGAAGTCTATTTCATCTGACGTAAGTATGGCTGTTCCTGCCTTCTTTTTTGGTCCATTTGCTTGTAGGATTGTTTTCCAGCCTTTTACTTTCAGTCTATGTTTATCTCTTGTGGTTAAATGTGTTTCCTGGAGACAACAGAAGGCTGGATTTTGTTTTTTAATCCAGCCTGCCACTCTGTGTCTTTTTATTGATGAGTTTAATCCATTTACCTTTAGAGTTAATATGTTGGCATCTGTATTTGCCATTTTATTTGTCTTTTTTGTGATTTTATTCCTTGCTTTATTCTGTTCTTCTTGTTCATTCCTCTGTTGGCTTTGGCTTTAGGACTTCTTGTAGAATTTTTTTGGAGTGGTGGTTTAGTTTTAATGAATTTCTAGAGTTTCTGTTTGTCTGAGAAGGTCCATATTTTTTCTTTGTAGAGGAAGGAGAGCTTTGCAAGGTAAAGTATTCTTGGTTGGCATTTGCTGTCTTGAAGTTTGCTGAATATGTTACTCCATTCTCTTCTTGCCTGTAATGTTTCTTCGAAGAAGTCTGAAGTTAACCTGATTGGTTTTCCCTTATAAGTTATCTGTTTCTTCCCCCTTGCCAGTTTCATTATTTTATCCTCGTCTTGGACTCTTGCAAGCTTTACCATTAGGTGTCTTGCTGTAGATTTCTTTTCATTGTGGTGATTGGGAGTTCTTCTTGCTTCTTGTATGTCTTTATTCGTCTCCTTTTTCATGCTTGGGAAGTTTTCTTCAATTTTCTCCTTGAATAATTCTCAGTTCCTTTGTCTCTCTCCTCACCTTCTGGAATGCCTATAACTCTTACATTTCCTCTCTTCGTGGAGTCTGATAATTGTCTAAGAGTCTCCTCAAACTGCTTCATTTGCACTTCTCTCTCCTTTTCTCTTTTGGCTCTTTTTATTTCTGTATCTTTGATAGTACTAATCTGTTCTTCCATTTCATCGATTCTGGTTTCATTGCTTCCCCCCTCCCCCGCCCCCCAGTTCTTTATCTCCTCTAGTAATCTTTTAATCTCCTGCATTTTTTTTTCTGTCCTTTCTTAAAGTCTCAATTTCATTCTTCAGTTCAGTGATTATTTGTCTCAAATCATTTTTTTCCTTTTTGTTTTCTTTCTGCTTTTTAATTGTGATGATCATTAATTCTCTATCTGATAGGCCGAGAAGTTTTTCCATATCATTTTTGAGCTCTGGTGACTGTGTTTCTTTTTGTGGTGTGTCCTCCTGCAGGCTTGCTTTGTTATTTATGTTTTCCTTCTCCCTGTTGTTTGCTTTCTAATTAGTTCCATGTGTTGGGACGTTGTGCCACTGGTGTTGGCAGGCGTCTCTTTGGAGTGCTCTTTTAGGGGTACCAGAACCTGTTTACCAGACTGAGACCAGCGCTGGTAGGCCAAAACTCCACCAGGGTGTTGATGCTGTGTTGCTGGACACTGTCCCTTACAGTTCCCTCTCTCTGTATTTACTCAGTTCCAACAGGGAATCAGCTAGTTGGTGATTTTGTTCTGGTAACGAGGTGATGCCAGAGACCCGTACTTGCTGACCTGTGTTTTTTTCCAGTGGTTCTCTGAGAAACAGAGGGGTGGTGGGCAGAGGAGAGCACTCAACACAGGGGCTCTTAATCAAGCTGGGTTCTGTGTCTGCCCCATGTTCACCAGGTGCTGTGCCCACAGCTGTATGGGTCCCGGGCCCTGAATTCTGCACTCTAGGTCTCAGTTCCAGGGCTATCAGATCCAAAGTGCTGGCTATCACCCTGTGCAGTGCCTGCTGCTATGGCACGTCCCATGCCCTGGATCCTGTGCCTGGCTCTCAGTTCCAGGATGGGGTCTTGCTCCACGACTTATTTTCCTCCTTACCCCCGTTTGCATGGCCCATCCTCTCTCATAGCCTGAGTGTGTTTTTGGGATCCCTGGTTCCAATTATCAGGATGTTGGTGATTTTTTTTTCTGGTGGCTAGGTGGCACCAGAGATCTTTCCCACTGTCCTTCCAGAACTGTTTTTTTCCTGTGGGTCTGAGGGAATAGAGTGGGAGTGGCATGGAGCACCTCAACAGCATAGGGGTGCTATATCTGCCCTGTGCCCCTCCGTCGTGGGGATCCCACGCCCTGAATTTTGTGCCCCAGGTCTCAGTTCCAAAGCCCTCAGATACAGGACGCGGGCTGAAGCCTTGTTCAGTGTCTGCAGAAATGGCATCTTTTGCACCCCACACCCATGTCCCAGCGCCAGGTTTCTGATTACTCAGTGAGGGACATTCACCTCAATGAGGGCTCCTGCACGTCTCCCCACAAGCCTAGGTCACAGGCACATTGACCCGGGCAGCCACAATCCGTGATCCGTGTATGCTTTTCAAGCGTGCTGCTTTTCCGCACAAGCTTACCAGCTGGCCTTGGGCTATTTGTAGGTCTCAGTGGAATCCTTATCTTCCTCTAATGGCGCCCGAAGCCATTTGCTCACCTCTGTGGAGATTCCCACACCATTCTCCACAGTTCCAGTTCACAGGATGCAGTGCCTAAAATGGTTCCTTTCCCTCACAGTCCCGCTTGATGTGTAGTTTGTTCTTGTTGGTCGTTCTTGTTTGTTTTTTTGTTTGTTTTTTCCTCCTTTCTGTTGTTCAGAGAGTGCTGACTTTGTGGGTCTGGGAGGGTAGCAGGGTTCTGAGCTTTCCTCCCTTCTAGTCCTCTTTTATGGCAACTTTCTTCTTCGGGTAGTTTGCTGGAGTCACCCGTTTATCTTCCGTGTCCCAGTTCTCGCAGGGACCTGCCACTTTTCCTCCCTATTCACTTTTTCTTATGGGAGGACTTACTCGCAGTATTTCCCCACCACCATGTTGATCTCTCTCCCGGGCCAGGGTTTTGGAGCCACTAACTGTTCTTCCTTTCCCCAGTGATCCATCAGGGCCCACAGGCTGTGCACACAAAGAAGGACTCTTCAGAGAAAGGTGGGACCTCATTTTTTTTTCCACCTTCAGAGGAATGTGGGTGTCCAGTGCATTGCTGCCCTGTGACCAGGCTCCATCCTCCTCTTCCTGTAATGTATTGGAGGGCTTGTCCTTTCTGACTGGTGCTCCCATGGTGCCTCACACTTTTCTTAAGTCAGGGATGGGGGCCAGGGTTTTGGAGCCACTAACTTCCTCCCCTTCCCAGTGATCCATCAGGGCCTGCAGGCTGTACACACAAAGAAGGACTCATCAAAGAAAGGTGGGACCTCGTTTTCTTTTCTACCTTCAGAGGAAGGTGGTGTCCAGTGCATTGCTGCCCTGTGACCACAGCTCTATTCTCTTCTTCCGGTAATGGGTTGAAGGGTCTGTGCTTTCTGACTGGTGCTCACATGGTGTCTCCCACTTTTCTTTAAATAAGGGATGGGGCCAGGTTTTTGGAGCCACTAACTGTTCCTCCCCTTCCCAGCGATCCATCAGGGCCTGCAGGCTGTGCACACAAAGGATGACTCATCAAAGAAAGGTGGGACCTCATTTCCTTTTCCATCTTCAGAGGTACGTGGGTGTCCAGTGCATTGCTGCCCTGTGACCAGGCTCCATCCTCTTCTTCCTGTAATGTGTTGGAGGGCTTGCCCTTTCTGACTGGTGCTCACATGGTGCCTCCCATTTTTCTTTAAGTTAGGGATGGGGGCCAGGGTTTTGGAGCCACTAACTTCCTCCCCTTCCCAGCGATTCATCAGGGCCTGCAGACTATGCACACAAAGAAGGACTCATCAAAGAAAGGTGGAACCTCATTTTCTTTCCCACCTTCAGAGGAAGGTGATGTCCAGTGCATTGCTGCTCTATGACCACAGCTCCATTCTCTTCCTGTAATGGGTTGGAGGGCTTGCCCTTTCTAACTGGTGCTTACATGGTGACCCCACTTTTCTTTAAATCAGGGATGGGGGCTAGGGTTTTGGAGCTCTAACTGTTCCTCTTCTCCTCAGGGATCCATCAGGGCCCGCAGGCCATGCACACAGAGAAGAGCTCTTCAGAGAAAGGTGGAAGCTCATCTTCTTTTCCACTTTCAGAGGAAGGTGGGTGTCCAGTGCATTGCTGCCCTGTGACCACCACTCCATTCTTTTCTTCCTATAATGGGCTAGAGGGCTTGCCCTTTCTGACTGGTGCTCACATGGTTCCTCCCACTTTTCTTTGTCAGAATGGGGGCCAGGGTTTTGGAGCCACTAACTGTTCCTCCTCTCCCCAGCAATCCGTCAGGACCCACAGGCTGTGGACACAGAAGAGGACTTTTCAGAGGAAGGTGGGAACTCATTTTCTTTTCCACCTTCAGAGGAAGGTGGGTGCATTGCTGCCCTCCTCATTGTTTAGTGTGTATCTACCTAACTGTGGACACCAGTAGCTGGGGTGAAGGGAAACAGTACTTGAAATCAGTATTTCTTAAGCACCTGTGTGCCTGGAGTGTTCCATGCAGGTACTGATGTGCAATCTTCTTGCTCACTGGTGGGGACAGCCAGGCTCAGAGGGGGCCAGAGACTGCCTGATCACAGAGGCAGCAGTGCTTGAGCCTGGATTTAGGTGGTGTGTGAGACAACGTCTATCCCCACGCCCCTCTCCTTGAATGGTCCAGAGTGGAGGGTGGCCTTTGCTGTTTTGCTCTGTGTAATGATCATGATATAGACAATTCACACAGGGCTTAACTAATGTGCAGAAGTTGCCTTGACTGTCTTCAAAGTGCTGGTCACCTGCTATTTCTATTCACCCCATTCAGTGACTGGCTGTGATTTGTAGTGCTCTCAGCAAGTTGTTGCTAGAGGAGGCAAAAGAGAAATGAAAAACAAACAAACATTGACATGCTTCCTGGCCACAAGGAGGTCCCAGGCTTGCAGGGCAGAAGCTCCTAGGAAAGACCAGACTGTGCTCACAGCCAATCTGCTGACCAGGCCCTGGCTACCTCCAGACTGTGACTTGACAATTCGAAATGACCCAACAGATATACCCAGGCAAGAGTTTTGTTTGTGTCAGCAAAGACTTCCTCTATTTTCAGCAAATATTCTTCTTTACTATTGAGTAAAATATTATGTCAAAAATTTACTTTACAATAATATATATACTTAGCAAAAAAAAAAAAAAAGAAAGAAAAAGAAAAAAAAAAAGAACAAAATACAGAGGTGTGTGCAGTGAGAAGTAGGTCTCCCTCTGCTTACCTCTGTTAACAGCTCTTTGTAGGGGTATCAAACAGGGGAAATGAAGCAGGAAGTTGCTAGGTCTGCTGCTTGGAGTCTGCTGCTTGCTGGAATGGAAATTTCCTGCAATGTGCTGCTTGCCCATACTAGTAGCTATGGCTACCTTGACCCCCTTCCCAAACAATAAAGAATACTTGTGCTATATTCCACTCCTAGGTATTTACCGAAAGGACACAGAAACATCAATTCCAAAGAGCACCTGCACCCCTATGTTTATAGCAGCACTGTTTACAATAGCTAAGTTTTGGAAACAACCCAAATGCCCAAAAATAGATGACTGGATCAAGAAGATGTGGTACATATACACCATGGAATATTACTGAGCATTCAAAAAAGATAAACACATGCAATTTGCAGCAACATGGATGGAGCTGGAAGGGATCACGCTCAGCGAAATAAGCCAGAAAGAAAAAGAAAAATACCGGATGGTCTCACTCATAGCAGGAATCTAGAAAACTTAAATAAGGGACCAGGAAAAGGAATAACTATAAGAAAGTGAAAGTCAAAATCAACAAAAACTATGAACCAGAGACACTCTATGGGGAGTGGGGGGGCGGGGAGGGGAGGGATTGGGGTCAAAATAAGGGGGTTGTAATTGTATGGGGAATATAAAAATAAAATTTATTTTAAAAAATAGAAAAAAAAAGAATACTAAGAATACTTGTGCTATGATGGATGGGGTGACAAGTTTCCTCACACAAACTGTATAAAACCTTACCATTCTGGCAATTCAGGGCTCAGACTTTTGGGAGCTGCCCCACTGAGCCTTCTAGAGTGACAATTAAATCTCTCCACCTCTCTGAGTGCCATCTAATTTCTCTGGAAAATTGTCGTTAACACTGTCTCATGTCTCTTTACAGAGATACTTGGTACAATACAACCACATACATGAACCATTCTTTTCCTTTCCCCAAGTGGAAATACACTGCAAATATTGTTCCCTAGTTATGTATTTTCTTTTTCTTTTTTTTTAAAGATTTATTTATTTATTTTGTACAAGAACCGGGGTACAGGCCAGATGCAGGGAAGGGTGAGAGGATTCACCAGAGACAGAGCGGGGAACAGAACAGGCAGACTGATGAAATACACTGCTGAGGGGAGCAGCGGGCGCGATAGGAGAGGTCCGCTGCGCCTTGTGGGACCCTCGCCGGCTGGCCGGGATCGAACGGGCGCTGGAAAGGCTGCGGACAGCTTCACAGCGCAGCGCTCAACCACCTGCGCCACCAGGGGAGGCCCCAGTTATGTATTTTCTTAACAACCTTTTTTTTTACAAATTATTTCTATCCTTTTTGTAAAAATGCTTCATCATGTTTTCAGGACAATACTGCTTTATTTCACTAAATGGATGTAACCAAATTTATTTAAGTGGTCCTCCCTCCATTAACCCCACCCCAACATGTGCATTTAATAGTGGGAGATAGTAGTGAAAATTAGAGTTACATGCACCTTTTGGGGAAGATATCTGTTGAGTGATATCACAGTGGAGATGATGCAAATCCTACTAGAGAAACACAGTTTGTAGAGGAGGAGACTGACAAGGGTAAGTCAGTGAAAACTCCTTGGGTCCCGCCTATTATAGGGTTTTGCTGTCAGGACTCAAGTGTAAGTTAAAAGCCAGGGGAAGGGGCCTTCCTGTTGGTGCAAGGGGTTAAGCACTGCACTATGAAGCAATTCGCAACCTCTGCAGCACGTGTTCGATCCCCAGCCGGCCAGGGAGCAACCCACATGGCAAAGCAGACCTCTCCTATCTCGCCCACTGCTCCCCTCAGCAGTGTATTTCAGGCAGTCTGCCTGTTCTGTTCCCCACTCTTTCTCTGGTGAATTCTCTTGCCCCCCACCACACATCTCTGGCTTGTACCCCAGCTCTTGTATGCATAAATAAATAAATCTTAAAAAAAAAAAAGCCAGGGGCAGGACTGAGAGCAGAGCTTGGAGGTCCAGACCAGCAGGGATGAAATCCTGAAGGCAGGTGAGGGGAGTGGAATCTGAGGTAGTGTTACTCAGAAACAGAGGCACCCCAGTTCCTGGCACTGGGATGGACACTTGGACCATGCAGATACCCCTGGGTTTCCAGGCAGAGTCACTGGCTGGACATAGTGGGACACTGGGGCAACCAGGCTGACCTTGGTGATTGTCTTGTGCCACAGATCTGGAGGACTCCCAAGATGAACAACAGAAGGTGCTGGCAACTCTGAAGCAAAAACATATCTTGGTGAAGCACTTCAGGGTGATTCTGGAGGAAACTCTGCAAGAAAAGCTGAACAGTGTGGGGATAAAGCAAGTAAGTCCCAGAGCCAAACTGCAGGGCCCATACCTACCTTTCAGATTCCCACCATCTACTCTTCAGATGCAGATGAGTGCTGGGTTGTTCTTTGCCTTGTGTGCTTAGTCATCTTATCTGTTCCAAACTGGGCTGACTTTAATGTCTATAAATATAAAACTACACAACTTCTCCCCTCCCCTCACAGCATGGGTGGTCTCTTCTCTCTTTCCTCCAGTTGCCTCTTAGCTACGATGCTACCCTGCATCCTGACTGAGCCACTCATGGGTTACTTTCTTCTGTGTCTATTTTTGGACAGAGGGAATTGTATTAGCTCAATCTGGCCTCTGCATGGGTCCCTTGGGTGGAGTGTCCATCAGCTATGGCATAAGCATCCATGCCCACTCGGCACGTGAGGCAGGCACTGAAAGTGTCTCTGCTACAATTGGTAGTTAAATGCCATTGTTCTCCATGCTCTGTTGAAACAGCATTGGCAGCTTATTATTCAAGTCACTATGACATCTATTGTAAATAAAAACGTGCTATTATTAAGGTAGCTGAACATCATAATATCGACAATACTGTGTATAGAGTAAAAAAATAAAGACACCTAGGTTTAGCTTAATAACGATGCTCTTCAACCTTTGTTTTTGACCACTGCTTAATCTCCACCTTGACTTTCTGTTCAGACTTGATTAAAATATGTCTTTCAATTCTCGAGTGAATGAGTCCTTATATTGGATTCAGGTACCTCCCCAAATCCTCCTATGGACCCTGGGTGGATGTTAGAAACCCAAGCAAGGCCTAACAGGTCTTGGGAGGGTACGTGGCTTTTGCTTTTGGCACTCAATTTTTTCAGACATTGTTAGCCATGTATCCAAGGTGTCTGACATCACATAGCACCTGAGGCATAAGTAGGAGCAAATTGAGGTCCCATCCTGGGATTCAGCTGCATGGTGGCGAGTCTATCCTGTCTAAACCCCAAATGCTGCATGGTCAATGCAGTTGTGTGCAGCCCCTCTGCAGCCCCCTGTCGAGCTCTTTGCAATGGGGCTCCCAGCACTGCACACCACGCTTCTGGCAGTGTGTGAAGATGCTGCTTCCCTGGCCCCACACTTCTCTCATCCTCTCCTGAAAAGCACCGGGTTCTAGTTCCAGGGCCTCTTAGGCAGCTGCAACAGGTTTGAGAGGCTTAAGGTAAAGAGGAAGGAGAGCCCTGCCTCCAAAGATGAACCTCTGTCTTTTTTAGAAGGCAAAGGGAATCAAAACTCAGGTTTTCAGAAGACTGAAGTCCCTCCTGAAAGTCGAGCGGGCGCAGAAGGCAGCAAATTTTCCTGAATTTCTGAGTCTGAGGAAGAAACTTGCCAAGGAAATCGCCAGCAAAATGAAGGAGAGAGAGGGGAATGTGGGGTTCCAACGAGACAGCAGGTCTCCAGGTAAGCTGGCAAGAGGGCTTGCTTGGGGGCTGTAACTTGGAGGGTTTGGGCTTGTTGAGGAAATAATTCCTGCTGCCATGAGGGCATTGCTCTAAAGAACAAGACTGTAGGATCCTCACAAGTGACTGAGTTCAAAAGTCCTTTGTTGGGGAAACAGACTCAAGGGTGAAATGGGCACCAATGTCTCAGGGAAGTTGAGGAGAGCCATACCTAGAGCTTATGGTCAGCCCTAAATTTGTCCTGCCTCAGACATGCTGCCCCACTCAGCAACTTGGGCCCACATTGCTTTACTTCCTTTGGCCACACATTTAACTTAGCTCTGACAGAGAGCAGCTCGTGCCATTTCTGGCTCTATAAACCAGGCATGTCAGAGCTAAATACAGTATTAAGGCTGAAGGCAGAGGCAAATATAAATCACATGAAAATGGACCGGGGGTAAGGGGGTGGTTGTAAGAGGTGGGTCAGTCCCGCAGAGCTCAGGTTGTTCCCTGGCCGCACAGTAGCTGCTTTGCCATTGGGCATGGTGTCAAGGGAGTACCCTAGAGTTCTTGTGGAGGATTAAAGTTCTTGTGAACCAGCACTCTCCAGTCTCTGTCCTCAAGAAATTAGGGAGCAAGGGGACATGTATTTTTAGGTTCGAGAGTCCCCCAATTCTAGATCCACTGGGTGATTTGGCTTGGGCATACATGGGCTTGGGACCTCTCATGCAGCCTGATGCCCCAGCACATTTCATTCGTGTCCTCAATCCTGGACCTGTGAGGACAGTGGAAGTCAGCTCTGACCTCCCCCATGTCCAGGCAGACCCAAGATGAGCTCTGACTTCAAAGGAAATTTCTAGAGTGTTGTTTTACATATCTCTGCATATATGAGAGATGATTTTATTTGGAACATGGATGAATAATTTTAAAATAATTAATCTTTATTTTTCTTCATGTGCATTAGAACATATTGCTAGCATAGTAACTGTGAGTTCACAGAAATGATTACTTGGGCAGGAATACATTAGGTATTTTATGTTTAGAAATGGTGTCACTTAATATAAAACATTAAATAGATAACAGGACAGTTGGTATGGGAGTATATGGGAAAATTTGTATTGATAATCTGGAGAACTCTATGCTGTTAATATATAAACTTTTGGTCCGAAGAGCTCTTAAGACAGGATAGTTCTTAGTCATGCTTAAAAACATCAGGAGAGATTTTTTTTTAAATGTTATCTGTTCCCTTTATTGTTTTTCTATTGATATAAAAATTCAAGTAATTCATTTTTTTACACATTTTTTATTTTATTTTATTTATTTACTTTTTTAATTTAAATTTTATTTTTATATTCCCCATAAAAATACAACCCCCTTATTTTGACCCCAATTGCTTCTTTCTCCACCCCCACCCCTCCATAGAGTGTCTCTGGTTCATAGTTTTTTGTTGATTTTGATTTTCACTTTCTTATAGTTATTCATTTTCCTGGTCCCTTATTTAAGTTTTCTAGATTCCTGCTATGAGTGAGACCATCCGGTATTTTTCTTTTTCTTTCTGGCTTCTTTCGCTGAGCATGATCCCTTCCAGCGCCATCCATGTTGCTGCAAATTGCATGTGTTTATCTTTTTTGAATGCTGAGTAATATTCCATGGTATATATGTACCACATCTTCTTGATTCAGTCATCTATTTTTGGGCGTTTGGGTTGTTTCCAAAGCTTAGCTATTGTAAATAGTGCTGCTATAAACATAGGGGTGCAGGTGCTCTTTGGAATTGATGTTTCTGTGTCCTTTGGGTAAATACCTAGGAGTGGAATTGCTGGATCATATGGAAGCTCTATGTTTAGTAGGTCCAGAAATCTCCACACAGCTCTCCATAGTGGTTGGACAAGTTTGCACTCCCACCAACAGTGCAGGAGAGTTCCTTTTTCTCCACATCCTCACCAACATTTGTTGTTGCTAGTTTTTTTAATATGCGCCATTCTCACTGGTATAAGATGGTATCTCATGGTAGTTTTGATTTGCATTTCCCTGATTACAAGTGATGTTGAACATTTTTTCATATGCCTGTTGGCCATTTGCATTTCCTCTTCAGAGAAGTTTCTTTTTAGCTCTTCTGCCCATTTTTTGACTGGATTATTTTCTTTGTTGTTGTTGAGTCTCATCAGCTCTTTGCAGATTTTTGTGATCAGTCCTTTATCATTAGTGTTGTGTGCAAAAATGTTCTCCCAGTCGGGGGGTTTCTCTTTGTTTTGGTTGTCTCTTTTGCTGTGCAGAAGCTCTTTAATTTGATGTAGTCCCAGCTGTTTATCTTTGCCTTCACTATCACTGCTTTGGGTGATGTGTCTGTAAAGATGTCTTTGATGTGCATAGCACGTATTGTTTCCCCTGTATTTCCTTCTATGTATTTTATGGTTTCAGGTCTTATGTCTAGTTCTTTAATCCATTTTGAGTTGATTTTTGTTTATGGTGTGAGGTAGTGGTCAAGCTTCATTCTTTTGCATGTAGCGACCCAGTTTTCCCAGCACCATTTATTGAACAAACTTTCTTTGCTCCAGTGCATAGTCTTTGCTCCTTTGTCAAAGATTAGTTGACCATAAATCTGTGGGTTTATTTCTGGATTTTCTATTCAATTCCATTGGTCTGTGTGTCTGTTCTTGTTCCAATACCATGCAGTTTTGATGATTATGGCTTTGTAGTATAGTTTGAAGTCTGGGAGTGTGATGCCGCCATTCCCTTTTTTTTTTTTTTCAGGAGAGCTTTGACTATTTGGGGTTTTTGGTGATTCCATATGAATTTCATCAATAATTGTTCTATTTCTTTGAAGAATGACATTGAAATTTTTATTGGAATAGCATTGAATCTGTATATTGCTTTTGGTAGGATGGCCATTTTAATAATGTTTATTCTTCTAATCTATGAGCAGGGGATGTCTTTCCATTTCTTTGTGTCTGCTTCTATTTCTTTTAACAGTGTTTTATAGTTTTCTTTGTATAGGTCCTTTACCTCTTTTGTTATATTTATTCCCAAGTATTTGATTTTTTTTTGTTTTGATAATAAAAGGGATGGTTTTTTTTTTATTTCTTCTTCTTCAGATTTATTGTTTGTGTATAGGAAGGCTACTGACTTTTGCGTGTTGATTTTCTATCCTGCGTGTTGATTTTCTATCCTCATCATTTGATTGATGAGTTGAATTAGTTTTTCTGTTGAGTTTTTGGGGTTCTCTATATTATCATAGCATCTGCAAATAGTGATAGTTTGACTTCTTCTTTTCCTATTTGGATTCCTTGTATATTTTTCTCTTGTCTTATTGCTCTGGCTAGGACTTCCAGTATTATATTGAAAAGCAGTGGTAAAGTGGACATCCTTGTCTTGTTCCAGATCTTAATGGAAATGCTTTCAGCTTTTCACCATTGAGAATGATACTGGCTGTTGGCTTCTCATAGATGGCCTTTATGATGTTGAGGTATGTTCCTTGTATCCCAAGAATTTCAAGGGCTTTTATCATGAATGGGTGTTGCACTTTGTTGAAAGCTTTCTCAGCATCTATTGATATTATCATATGGTTTTTATATTTCTTTTTGTTGATGTGTTGGATAACGTTGATTGATTTTTGGATGTTGAACCATCCTTGTGTTCCTGGCATGAATCCTACTTGGTTGTGGTGAATTATCTTATGGATACATTGTTGAATTCTGGTAGCTAAAATTTTATTGAGGATTTTTGCATCAGTGTTCATTAGGGAGATTGGCCTGTAGTTTCCTTTTTTGTGTTGTCCTTGTTTGGTTTTGGTATTAGTGTAATGTTGGCTTCATAGAATGTGTTTGGTATTGTTTGGTATTGTTTGGTATCCTTCTCAATTTTTTGGAAGAGTTTGTGAAGGATTGGCACTAATTCATCTCTGAATGTTTGGTAGAATTCATTTGTAAATCCATCAGGTCCTGGGCTTTTGTTTTTGGGGAGGTTTTTGATTACCATTTCAATTTCGCTGCTTGTAATTGGTCTGTTTAGGTGTTCTATTTCTTCTTTATCTAGCTTTGGGTGATTGTAGAGTTGTAGGAATTTATTTATCTCCTCTAGATTGTTGAACTTATTTCCATATAACTGTTCATAGTAGTTACTGATTATTCTTTTGATTTCTTCTGTGTCCGTTGTGATTTCTGCTCTTTCATTTATGATCCTGTTTATTTGTGCTTTCTCCCTTTTTTCCTTTGTGAGCCTGGCTAGAGGTTTGTCTATTTTATTGATTTTTTCAAAGAACCAGCTCTTGGTTTCATTGATCTTTTGGATTGTTTTTTCAGTTTCAATTCATTTATTTCTGCTTTGGTTTTTATTTTTTTTTTTCTTCTACTGGTTTTGGGTTATTTTTGTTGTTCTTTTTCTAGACCTTTGAGCTTCGAGATTAGGTTGTTTCTTTGAGTTCTTGTTTCTTCATGTGAGCCTCTATTGCTATATATTTTCCTCTTATTACTGCTTTTGCTGCATCCCATACATTTTGGAAATTGGTGTCCTCCTTGTCATTCAATTTCAAGAATTTTTTAATTCTTTGATCTCCTCATTAGTCCAGTGGTCTTCCAGTAGTGTGGTTTTCAATCTCCATGAGGTAGGAGAGTTCCTTGCCTTCTTTTTATGGTTTATTTCTAGTTTGATGCCTTCATGGTCAGAAAAGATGGTTGGTATGATTTCAATCTTGGTGATGTTTGTCTTGTGTCCCAGTATGTGATTGATCCTGGAGAATGATCCATGTGCGCTTGAGAAAAATGTGTACTCCATTTTTTGGGGGTTTAGTGTTCTATAGATGTCTGTTAAGCCCAACTGCTCTAGATCCTTATTTAGAGCTTTAGTGTCTTTACTTATTTTTTGTCTCGTTGATCTATCCATTGTTGATAGTGGTGTGTTGAAATCTCCCACTATGTATGTGTTTTCTCTGATGTCTGTTTTCAGAGATGACAATAGTTGTCTGATATATTTTGGTGCTCCTTCATTTGGTGAATATATGTTAACGAGTGTTATTTCTTCTTGA